ACATGTTCAGCCTCTTTAGGCCGTTAATCCCGCTTAGGTTCTTCTTCACTTCACATTAGTCAGAGGTTGAGGGGAGATTGAGAGGCTCTGTATTTAGTGACTTTTTGGTTGTTACAGTGTCTCATCAATGTCTCGCCCTTACCTTCCCAAGTTCAGCTTCACTTCACCCTTTTTAATATAAACTTTGCCCATTTTTTGAAATTTGAATCTAGGACGATTTCAAAGAAAAGGTCCCTAGAGTACAATGTAGTTCAGGCCTGTTGCACTGTATTGTTAAAGAGCATAGGCACAAACTTGATGGGAAAAAAAAAAAAAACATGTCAACTACTGAAGATTTAATTGTTACCGGAATTGTCTCATTTTTTAAATGATAAATAACCATGAAGTTTTGGTAACACTTTCTATGATGCCAACTTATACAATGCATAAACATTCTTATAATGCCAATCATTTGGCTTATAGCATTATATCAATGTAGTTCTAAGCACAAAGCACAAATATTCATAAAACACTAAATAGATTAGGTTCAAGTGTCATATTTCATAATGGCTGGATGCTTGCTGACCGTTTTAATATGTATCATAATGTATTACCATTCCCATAGTTGTAATATATACTATAAATGCATTATAATAGGATTAAAAGCTAATAAAAGTGGGCATTGGTCGCTCTTAAATTTAAAAATAATTGTATGTATATAAAAAAAAAACTTCTTTTGCCCTTGCATAGATTTAGACGTTTTGCATTTGTAAGGAAATAGTTATTTAAAATAGCCATATACATGGTTTTGACCACCGTGGTGGTTGTAAGGTAGAAACGCTAATTAGTCTCTAGCTTTATATATATCTGACCTTATTTTCATACAAGTCACCTGATCAAAGGGTCGGGTTGTCACTGCCACGGTGGTCGTGTGCTGTCTGACGATAACGTTATTAGTGTTTGTGTCACGTCTAACAGCCGGGTGCATGAGTGCTTGTAGCTCTAATTACACAGTGATGTGAGGAGATCGTAATGCGTTAAGTTCATCATGCATTGTAGACCTGGGTCCTAGAAAGTGTTATTTCACTGTTTACTGTAACATCTGTTGTCATTTAAGTTTTTTTGGCAGCATTTATGTGTTGATCTGATACATAGGCTCAGGTTATGTTTGGTTTAAGCCTGGTTATGTGACACTCTTGGACAGTTGTGTCTCACTTCATCCGTTGCATTAATTAATCACATTAATACATAGTGTTACTCATTTACAGCCTACTGCGCGTCACGACCAACGTTTGGTCGATTAGACTTCGGATCTGTGCAGAGACAACTGTCCCGGGTGTCAAACCACCAAGCCAAGCGACACCTTTAGCAGAGAGGCTTTTGCAGTGGTCAAGAGTCAGGCCTGTCTGAATCCGTTTGCTTTAACTGTGTTTTTCTTGTAGGAATTTGCTCTCTCTCATCCACCGAATGATCGAGTTTGTGGTGCGTGAAGGCCCAATGTTTGAAGCCATGATCATGAACAGAGAAATCAACAATCCCATGTACAGGTCGGCGCGGCTTTTCACGACTAGCGTATTACCTCTTAACACTTTAGACCGTTAATGCTATTTGCATGCTCATGTTTTATGATTTTTTTCTTCCAGGTTTCTATTTGAGAACCAAAGCCCGGCACATGTATACTACCGGTGGAAGCTGTACTCCATACTACAGGTTCGCTTGCTGCATCCTGAAACTGCCCAGAAAGCTCAAGTTCTTGTAGAAATGTGACCATGTGTGATCAGCAGGTTCTGTCGTGGTTTTAACTACTTTTTTACTCGCTCAGGGGGAAGCACCAGTAAAATGGAAAACGGAGGACTTTAGGATGTTTAAGAATGGCTCCCTGTGGCGTCCGCCTCCTCTCAATCCGTACCTCCATGGTCCGTATGACGACGGTGAGGAAGAGGAGGAAGACGAGGACGGCGTCAGGAAAGGCAGCTTGAAAGAAGAGTAAGAGCATCTCCTCCTGAACTGAAGCGTCTTAATTCATCGAATGTGTTCAAATGACCCGCTGTTGGATAGATTCATATTTATTATTGCCCCTGATTTCTGCAGCGAGCGAGACAAACTAGAGGAGATGCTGCGTGCTCTGACTCCCAGGAGGGGAGACATCGCAGAGGCCATGTTGTTTTGTCTCAACCGCGCCGAAGCAGCGGAGGAGATAGTGGAATGTGTCACGGAGTCTCTCTCCATCCTCAAAACCCCTCTTCCCAAGAAGGCAAGACAAAGCGCCGGCCCAGGGCCGTGAAGAGGACCAACAACATCCCGTGAATATACAACTAATACAATGTTCTCTTCTACGTTTCAGATTGCGCGGTTATATCTAGTTTCTGATGTGCTGTACAACTCCTCTGCCAAAGTGTCCAATGCGTCGTACTACAGAAAATAGTAAGTAGTATATTTGTGGTCTCTGTTTTACACGGCGCTGTCCACTTAAGATGGAAATACCCATTTCCTATTCACATTAATACTTCTCCCCCTCTTCAACAGTTTCGAAACCAAGCTGTGCCAGATCTTTGCAGACCTCAACGCGACGTACAAAGCGATACAGGGCCACCTGCAGAGTGAGAACTTTAAGGTACCAAACGGCTTTAAAGTCCCGCTCGGTACATTGAACCCCATCTGTTTGTCACTCAACCATCCTACTTTTCCTCTGTGTGGCAGCAACGAGTGATGTCATGCTTCCGGGCGTGGGAGGACTGGGCCGTGTACCCGGACCCCTTCCTGATCAAGCTGCAGAACATCTTCCTGGGGCTGGTTAATCTCGCTGCAGAGAAGGAAGCCCCGGTGGTCATTGTGGAGGTACACAACACTAAACCATTTGTAACATTTGAACTCTTCTGCTCTCCAAGCCCGTTGCCCACGACTTGCCAAAGGTCCAGTTTGATTCTTGTGCGTGTGCCGCCTTTTGGTGCAGGCCGATCCGGTGGAGGACATTGATGGGGCTCCAATCGGGGAGTACGTAGACGGGGCTCTGCTGGAGGACGTGGACGGGGTGCCGATCGACGCGGTGCCCATCGACGGAGCCCCGATTGACGGAGCCCCCCTGGATGACCTCGACGGGGTTCCCATCAAGCCCATGGAAGAAGACATAGACGGAATACCTCGTGAGTCGTGCAGAGACGAGCGGTGGATGTTGATGAGTCCACTCTGACGTGCACTTCGTTAACGCAGCTCTTGTGAAGTTGCTTCATTTCTTTCCATTTTCCTGGTTTTCACAGTGGATCCGTCCAAGGAGGCAACCTTCAAGGTAGCACCTTCGAAATGGGAGGCGGTGGAGGAGGCAGAGTTACAAGCTCAAGGTGAGACTTTTAGGTTGCTTCATACTAACGTACATATACATGCATTCTTTACCGTTTTAATGTCATTTATTTGCTCTTTAGCTGTGACAACTTCTAAATGGGAGGCAATTGAGCAGCCAGAAGAAACAAAAAAGTGAGTTTTTTGAAAAGTATTCTTAACAAAAAGTCGCTCCAGTTTTCACCTTTTTAATAAAACCAAACTGTTTCCAACCCAGAAGGGACGAGGATGACAGTGATTATGACGACAGGAGCCCCCGCTCAGATGATAATCAGAGCTACTCAAACCCCATCAGAGAGGACTCCGATATTAAGGCCAAAATGTCTGAAATGAATGAAGAGAAACGCACAAAGCTCAGAGAAATCGAGGTACCTCATAATTGTAGCAAACCCCCATATGTTTATTCATACAAACAAATTCAATTGTTTTGACCATTTTCTTTATTGTATTGTTCCTCCAGGTTAAGGTCATGAAGTTCCAGGATGAGCTTGAGTCTGGAAAAAGGCCCAAGAAGCCTGGACAGAGTCTTCAGGAGCAGGTGGAACATTACAGGGACAAATTACTACAAAAGGTATTGGAATTGCGCTCTGCATAGTTTACCACAAATAATTCAATGCAATTATTGAAATAAAATATTGGCTACATTTATTTTAGGAAAAGGAAAAGGAGAAACTTGAACGGGAGAAAGAGCGGGAGAAGAAAGAGAAGGAGAAAGCTGAGGCACGTTTGAAGGACTTGAAGAAGGAAAAAGAAAAGGACGACACACCAACCAGGAAGGAGAGGTGACTCGTCTAAACAATCGCTTACGTTGGGATTTGTTAAACTTTCTGACTGACGTTTCTCCTCTCTGGTTGCTAGGAAACGGCGTCACAGCGGGTCACCCAGCCCATCAAGGAGTAGCACCCGACGAGGCCGATCACCGTCTCCCCGCTCAGAGCGGTCAGAAAGATCTGAGCGCTCCGACCGCTCGTACTCTAAAGACACGTCTTCACGCTCCACCCACAAAGACTCGCCGCGTCCCAGCAACAAAAAGTCCTCAAAGAGGTACGGCAGTCTGTCCTTTGCTTTAGTGCTGTCACGCCGCTATTTCCAAGACTACCTCTTAGATGCTTGTCTCTGTTTGTTTCCTCCCCCCAGATCTCCTTCTCCTCGCACACCCAAACGATCGAGGCGGTCGCGCTCCAAGACGCCCAAGAAGTCAGCGAAGAAATCCCGCTCCAAATCGAGGTCTCCTCACCGGTCGCATAAAAAATCAAAGAAGAGCAAACACTGACACGTCTTTTCGTTAAACCTCAAACCCGAACCAGCCTATTCTCCTCCCTCTCGATTCTTTCTTTTTCTGCGCTGTAGAAAAGTGACTGATTTGGTAGCTGATGTATAGACATGAGTGGAGGGTGTTGCATGGGTGACCATCAGGTGTATCAAATGGTTGGGGGCCATTGTTTTATATTGTACAAAAAGAAAATGTGCTTGTTTGTCCTGATTATCAACACCTCCCGATGGAATTCATCCATGTGGTAGAGCACCTCCGAACAGTGTCATGGCTGTGGTCATCTCCTGTTTTTGTAGTTAATATTCAAAAGGATTCCTAATAAAGAAATGTCATTTTTAAATCAGACATGATGTGGACATTCAGACTCCTTGAATGGAATGTTTGAAATCAAAAGGCAGTTGCAACCAATTACTGGTTATTTTGGTGGTAAAGTCCTTTACAGCTTGGCCTGGGCTTTCTTCAATTGATCCCTCAGTTCCAGACGAGCAATGGAGGAGAGGTGCACCTCGTCGGGCCCGTCCGCGATGCGTAGCGTCCGCGCGTATGAATACCTGAGGAAGAACGGTGATGCTGGTATCAGGAAGGAAATCAGTTTAATGCTTGTTCACGCAAGGGGGGGGGTCTAAACTTACATCTGTGAAAGCGGGAAGTCTCCAGAAACACCTGCACCTCCATGGACCTGGATCGCGCAGTCGATCACCTGACACGCCATCCTGGCGGCTGCCACCTTGATCATAGCAATCTAAAGATGACCAGTAAAAAAAAGTTTTTATTGGAAGCCTTACATTAAATTTGTTTATATTAGGAACATTCAAACTGCCATTGCACTGCATATTACTGACGGTCGTACCTGTTTGCGAGCAGCGCGGCTGCCCCGAGTATCCAGGGCGTGAGCAGCATGCAGAGTCAGCAGGCGCGTCTGTTCTATCATGAGGCGGCACTCTGCAATCCAGTGAGCAACGACCTCCTGCACACCGGACCGTGACGACACAAGCAGAGCGCACACTCGTTAGGCTGCGCCAAGATGAATGTCCACTAGGTGGCACTACAAAACACTTGACTCAATACTACAGGCCTGAAATTCAAAAGAACATTCTCCGGGGGCAATGTCCACTTACGTGTTGGTACAATTTCTTTCCAAAGGTTTGCCTGGAAGCCGCCCGCTGGCAGAGCAGCTGCAGGGCCGACTCCGCCAGGCCGACGGCCCTCATGCAGTGGTGCAGCCTGCCCGGCCCCAGGCGACCCTGTGCAATCTCAAAGCCCCGGCCTTCACCTGCAAACAGAAACCCAATGGGAACGATCAGGAGAGAAATGATTCATCTCGGCCATAGAACGAGTTATAATAAATAATAAAAGTATTATTATGACTGACACCTATTTGTCAATAATAATAATACTTTTTTTTTTTTTTTTTTTTATATAGTGCTTTTCTAGGTACCCAAAGACGCTTTACAACCTCGCTTTGAAACCGACAAACAAAAGCACAAAACCAGGCTTTGTTCTCCAAAGCTGAAAGAAGGAATGCTGTTTATTCCTCTCTGGGGCTTTGCAGGGAGTGCTTGCTTTTAAGACCCATTGTGAGTAAATAAGTGGAAAGAGGACCACACGGATACGGCGTCTTACCCAGAATAATGTTACAGGTAGGGACTCGCACGTTTTCAAAGTGCACTTCAAAGTGGCCACCATGGATGGCGTCTGAGGGGGAACAAGGGAAAGCTGGTTAATTTGCTCAGGAAAAATGTTTTTCCCCCCCGCCAAAGGGAAGTAAGGACTGTGGGAAAACAGGAAGATGTCATTTGAACATGATGATAACGACCGACTGTCCTACCGTCCTGCCCGAACACAGTGAGCGGTCTGACCAGCTTCACGCCCGGCGTGTCCATGGGGACGAGGACCATGCTGTGCTGCCCGTGTCTACAAACAAGATTACAAACGCAGCTTTCAAAAGGAGTGAAGGACTCCACATTTTTTTAATCCGCAATTTCATTTTTCAATATGATAAAAGTTGAAAACCCTGGTTTATTTTACTCTCTTTTCTACACAAGGTTGGGTGTGTTACACTGCTGACAAAACAAGAACAACGTGCGTTACATATCTTGGGTGTGTTCATCTTCAGACTTTCCATCTTGAATAACTTGTAACTGCTGAACTCAAAATGTTTAGCGCCAATTAAGTATTATCATTACATATGATTGAGCAACAATCAGATTCAACTAATATTCCTCACGTGTTCTACTGACCTGGTTTCGGCATCTTGAGACTTGCTCCTGCACATCACTATGGCCACTCTGCATTGGGGGTTCCCAGCACCTGAAACGGGACAGTCAGGAACATCATTGCGCTCGTTTCGTGTTTCGTCGTGGTCCCAATCACGCGTCATCATGAACTTGTTCACAGTCTGACTCTGTTCTCCACCCTCCCGTTGACCCGGGTCTCCAAACGTCACCTATTGTGGAGAAACGAATGGAGCTGTGGACGTATTGATGGCACGGGAACGCCCGCTCAGACGCAAACGGTCGACTTACATTTCCCGGAGTTGAAAGAAGAGGTTTGCCGCGGGGAAACTTGTGTATGCATGTGTATTTCCTGTTTGGTAACCAGTCCTTATCTTCATTTCGACTTTATAGACCTCCAACGGCCTGAATCTATTTCAGGTCATTTTATTCTGTTAATCTTTATTTAAGCAATAAATGTTACTCATTGTTACTCCTTCAGTGTTCCAGCTTGTGCACCCAGTGACATTTAATAAGCCGTTTCATCCAGGTTTTACCGTCTAAGTGCAGAGCGTCGACCAAATGCTAGATAACTGCGCACAGACAGGGTGAGAGATGCCTTCCTGTTTATATTTCTGCCCAAGTGGCAAGACTGTCCCCCAAGTACAGCACATATGGACACCAGACGGAGACGAACAAGACATCAATAGTTGGTCAAATATTCACAGAATCCCAGCACGAGTGCACGTGGACACTCGAACAAACACCAGCCGACAGATGTTTAGTCTTTAAACTCAGTCGGCGCTTGCAGACGCTTAAACAAACATTAAATGATGGCGCTGGCCCTTAAAAAACGGTGCGCCTCACACAACTTCAAACACGCGTCTAGGACGCCGTGTTCGGCGAGGAAAAGAAGAAGAGCCCTGCTGTCCTGCAGCGGCCATGTCCGTACATGTTCTGTCACCACCGGAGTGAAACTAAACCTCTGTCCTTCTGAGGAAGACAAAGAAAGAACAAAAGTACACGTCGGTACGACATACTTCTAAAAACAAATAACCTTTTTACAGAGAGGGAGAAAGATTAAAAGCAAGCTGAAATAAGTCAGTAGTTATCAGGAAAAGAAAAGTAAACTAAACGATAGAAGATCCAATAATGAATTTAAAGTCAAAAGAATCTACAGAAATGTGAATCTGTTGGATGAAGAATAAACACAACACACAATAACAAAGAGATAACGACGGTCTGTTCAGCAGGTAAACATTTAGATCCACACGGGATGCAACTCTATTGTTTCCTTTCCTCATTTCTTTTCTCTTCTCTTAGACACAAACAACGGGGCAACTCCCCCTGCATGCCATCAGGAGTGAGAGTGCTTTGCCCACAGCGGACTTCTTGTTAATTTCCACAAAACTTCTTTGTCTTAAAGGCACATACACACACACACACACACACATACACACACACACGCACGCAGACGCAGACGCAGACGCACTGTGCTTCGGTGCTACGTGTTGAGTAGAGGTGCTCCTTTGAAGGGGCAGGCGGAGGGAAAGCGATCCGTCCCTTCAGTCCTGTGCTTCACTCAGCTTTTCTCCTCAGGATACTTATATGTTTGTGTGCGATTAAACTTTTTTTTTTTTAAAGCGAAAAGGATCTCACCAACTTTATAACCGGAAAAGAACACGAGGTAAGAAGATCTTTTCCATTTCAACCACTTAACTCAATATCTTTGACTTGTTTTCTAGTTGATGGGAAAGAATGAACTAGATCCGTCACACAGTGAACATTGACTTCTAACAGCAGGATTTGCACTGTGCCTTGTTTACAGCAGTCACAGCTTCCATCAGCATTAACAGTCAAAGTCCTGCCCAGGATATTTTATGGTATTATTATGACTATAACAGTAATGATGACAAGCCAAGTCGAGCTTTTTGCGTTTTTTCCTCTTTTTTTCCACGTCTCAGGGTTACATTTTAAAACATTTATTCTCAGGGTCACATGACCAGTTTTTTTTGCGTGCAATTGTTTACATAAAATAGATAAAATGAGTGTGATCCAAATGTAAAGTGGTGCAGAGGTAGAAGTAAAGTTTTAAATACTGTTAAGAGATCGAGTATTTACAAATTGTTTGGTCTTTTAACTTTCGCTCCATTTAGCTTGTAAAGAAATAACCCAGAGAACTACACTGCAAACAAAATAGCTTCAAGTTCAACTATTTCACCCTTAGTACACATGAAGAGCAGCTGTTCACTGCCACAGAATACTTGACATAGTTCTGATGGCAGACGGCATCTGCTTTAGCACCTCATTCATTATGTAACAAACCTGGTTATGTTTCATAACAGCTGTCGGGAGCAAGCGGGATTTGCCAAAAGTGTCGCAAAACATTCCATTATCTGGTCTTGAATCAGTTATATTACGGTTCTATGAATAAAATAAAAAATAATACAAAAGTCATATTTTCCACTTGCATCTCAGTTTGGTAATGAATCTCCTCAAGAGACTCTTCAAGCAGCCCGAATTTTCTGTGTTTGATCACCGAGTGAGTCACCGTGTACAGCCGAACACACGGTATCGCATTTACTGTGCGGACAGGGAGGGGACGTTAACAAAAGGGTAACACTGGGGGGGGGGGGGGGGGCGCGTCTCCCTCCCATGGGATGTCCTGCTAAAGAAGCGCATGCCGGTAAAAACACCATCCTGGATTCAAATGTGGCCAGAGACGTTAGTTACCTCGCTGTGTAGTTGGTTCTGACTTGGGAGCAGATAAATGTTGATCTTTGTCCTTTATTGCTAATCAGTGAGGGTGGAGATTAAAAGGGAGTCAACTCCATGCTGCTATTTTTCAAATATCCGAACGCACTACAAACTGACTCGATTTAAAAGTCATCCGTTGCTTGCAAAACTTTTCAATTTTTTGTGTTTGCTGGGATTTTTCGAGGCCGCACAGTTCAGACGGACCTGCGTTGATGAATTAGGGAAATCAAACAGAAAAACATTCACGTAGAAAAAAAAACAGCCCCTTTTCCTGGTGAAAAGCTTGGTATGACTTACAAATATAAGCTGCTCTTGTGTTGTCAAAAAACCCACATTATGCTTTTATGCAATGGATCGATCATATCAACACAGGTCAAATTAAAAAAGGGAAAAGTTCCATTTGATTCTTTATCGTTCATCGTTCCTCCTCCCATTTAAAAACAAATGCTTTCATTGATTGTATCTTTGTTTTCTATACAGAAGAAGGATGGAAGATTTCTATTACGACGACGAGGACGTCGGCTTAAATGACAGCTACGATTACACCACAGAACACAGCGTCTGTGACAAGGAGGCGGTGCGCTCTTTTGGCGGCGTCTTCCTCCCCGTCGTCTACGCCGTGACTCTGGTGGTGGGCCTGGCCGGGAACGCCCTGGTGGTGGTGGTCTACGCGTCCAAGCTGCGACTGCGAACCCTGACGGACATGTGCATCCTCAATCTGGCCATTTCGGATCTGCTCCTCCTCTTCACGCTGCCCTTCTGGGCGGCCGACGCCGTCCACGGCTGGAAGTTGGGCGTGGCGGCGTGCAAGCTCAACTCCTTCCTCTACGGCACCAACTTCAGCTGCGGCATGCTGCTGCTGGCGTGCGTCAGCGTGGATCGCTACCGCGCTGTGGCCCAAAGCCCCGCAGGCCGGCCTGGGTCGGCTCCCCGGGTCCGGACGCAGTGGACCCTGGTGTGCGTGCTCTTGTGGGCTGTGGCCGGCGTTCTCGGCCTTCCCGAACTCTTCTTTTGCACGGTGAAGCACTCCCACCACAGGATGGCCTGCACGGCCGTCTACCCGCCCGGCATGGGCCGGTCCGCGAAGGCCACCCTGGAGCTGATGGAGGTGGCGCTCCGGTTTCTGCTCCCCTTCTTGGTCATGACGGTGTGCTACTGCTCGGTGTGGCGCATACTGAGCCGGGCGGCCGGCGTGCGGCGGGAGCGAAAGTGGCGAGCCCTACGCGTCCTGCTGGCCGTGGTGGCCGTCTTCCTGCTCACGCAGCTGCCCTACACCCTGGTCAAGCTGATCCGGGCGATGGACGTCATCTACATCCTGGTGACCGACTGCGAGGTCAGCAAGGGGCTGGATCGCGCCCTGCAGGTGACCGAGAGCCTGGCGCTGGTCCACGCCTGCATCAACCCCCTCCTCTATGCCTTCATGGGATCGTCCTTCAGGGGACACGTCCTGAAGGCTGCCAAGCACCTTGGACAGCGACTCGGGAGACACCCGCGGCACGCCGGCGCGGAGCCGGCGGTGGAGATGGCGCTCCGGACGCCGGCTGAACCGCAGTCGCAGTCCGGTTCGGACGACCAAGCCACCAGCACCTTTACTATTTAACAGCCGAATGACGGACACGTCGTCCTGGAAGCGGCTACACTACATTGTATATTTATGTATTAACACGTTTACTGCCATAAGTGATGTCTGCCTAACAACCCTATAGTCTGCACCTTATTGTATTACACCGCGTGGTTTCGGGATGAGGGGGGGGAACCCATTGAGTCAAAAAACATTTGGCGAACAAAGACAACTGCAAAGAGCAGGACGCCTGCAGGTCCTCAAAGCGGAATAGACTGACTGTCCACTGTATGTAATGAAATACAATGTTCATTTGGTTGGTATTTAAATGCTCTCAGGCTGCTGAAGGAATTCCCCTTTGTAATGACTCCATCATGTGGCATTATGCTGAAGATAAGCCCCTCCCCCTTTCACCATGCAAATATAAACGCCAAGTGCTTATAGAGAAAAGAATGCAGGTCTGGGAGTAATTTGTGTGCATTACAGCTGCCATAGCAACATCTGCAATATAGACCCGCCCGTCTAGCTTCTCAGAGTCAGCCACAGACATAAAAAGGGAAAAGTAAAGAAGTATTGTGTTTGGATTATGGGTAACATTTTTCATATGTGTGGTTCGGTATTTTCCGAACAACAAAACGCTCCAACGACAGAATGCAGAAAACTGCTGTGTAATTAGAATGCTGAGATACTGCGTTCGAACCAAAAGGTGATAAGTCTTAACTTTCTGCGTCGTCACAAGTGAAGATGTTTTACAAATGCAAACGGTTGCACATATTCCCCTGTGGGAACAAAGGCCAAAGGCCACAGACAGCGTATACGGGGAAACGCCCATGATGTCAGTGAGCAGGTGGCGGGTCGACAACATGTGATACTTATGATGGAATTTCCAGTCACATTTTGTCTAGTTAGATTTCTCCCATTACAACTCAAAGTGTTTTGTTACTGTGCGGTGCACATGCTTTGGATACGGAATCAGCCACAGATAAGAGCAAGAATAAAGTGATAAACAGATCAGAAGGGGTCATTCTGTAAAACCATACAGCTTCATCAACAAGAGGGAATTCTGTGCAGGTTCAAGTGACAAAAACAACAGGCCGCTGTTTTCCTTCAGTCCAAACCTAAAACCACATCTGTGTCAGAGGAAACATCTGGAAGATCTTTCCGTTCAAAGTGCTTTAGGGGACGATAGAAATCTAAAAACAATAATGATATTCATGTGATAACAGTCACTTAAATCCTAAATACTTAATTTAACAATGTTATTGAGCTCAATAGTCCCTTATATCTGATTATGTAGTAAATTTAACAGGACATTATAAACCAAACTCAATAAAAGAGCCAATGAGTGACTCACACATGACTCACTGACTATTCCGCTTCGCAGAATCAACAAATACCTACAATGTGTGCATATACATATAGTGATGTGACACATTTTCCAGAATGATTCCAGATTATTTATTGAGTCTTAAGATGTCTCATAGGGATGTATTGGGTATTTTCTTAAATAACCAATATGAATAGAAATGTACATACCACTGGTCCACCACTTCTTGCCGTTTATGACGAAGCTGTCTCCGTCCCTGCAGAGAGTGCACTCCATGTTGGTTGCATCACTGGAGGCCACGTCAGGCTCTGGGGAAAAGACCACAGGTCATCTTCAACATTTTACACAGAGGAAAAGAGAATAAGTAATGAGACTTTAGTGTTCACATATCCAATCTGCAGCTTTTCACTTAATGTTCCATCTTTTCCAAAGATCTGGATTCCAGATCTGGACACTGGTAAAATAAATAGTTCCATACTTAAACAACAAATAACTTAAAGTGAAGTTTATTAGCACGAGAGGGAGGTTCTGTTTATTCTCATCTACTATAAAATAATCAAACAACCTCCCCTGTGTGTTTACAGAAAAGACACGGGGAGTTTCAAACCCACGGGAATCTCCAGCGTGCTGCGGTTTCCAGGCAGAGTGGAAAGCAAAGGGAGGGAAAACATGGAAAAATGACTCATGATGAGCTTGGTCTCTGTTGGCGGGTAGAACTCCTTGGGAGCACCCACGCTACCAAGCTCATTTAAAACCCCACCCATCACTGGGGAGTAAGAAAGAACACAAACATATTTTGAGGAGTACCTTGGTCAGAAGAAGCGTTTAGAGACGCTCCCTTAATTTCCCAACAAATTACATTCCAAAACGTCCCCCCACCCATTCCTCCAGCGGCCCTACAGAATGTGATATGTTATCCTCGCTCAGCCTTTTGAACACGAAACGGATCGTCATACCTGTCATACAGAAGCAGGAGCGAATCTCTCCTTTGAGCAGAGGCTCCAGCCATGTACTCTTCTGCTCCTCACTGCCAAACATGTGCAGCACCTCCATGTTTCCTGTGTCTGGGGAGGGAAAGACATCACACCACACACTGTCCCCCAGGATGCGAGCAACCTTTGAATATGCTCTTTAAGACTGAAAATATTAGATTTTAGATAATCGGACTAAATGAGTTTATGCACAAGAATGCATTGTGTTTAAGATTGAAAGGAGGACTCCATTTGACCACAGAGGATGTAATTACAAGTAATGCACTGTATTATAGCAAGTTCATGGTCTCCTAATGATCCAAACGTGTAGGATGTGTGTTACCCGGAGCCTGGCAGTTGAAGACCTCCGGGGCAAAGAGGCAACGTCCGGTTTCCTCTGCGATGTAGGCGTAGTCCAACTGACTGAGACTGCTGACCGCGGGCAGGAATAGGTTCCACAGCCCCGCCTCCCGAGCTTTCACCTGGAAAACACGCACGTCATCGTACGCATTTGGTCGACCTTGATGTCGCTAGTACATAAAGCGGTCACGGCAAGAGAGCAGACGTTCTCCGGGTTTTAGCAACGCGTGCAAGTTAGAGTTGGATGCAGGAAGATCTGCTCTGTGAGAATTATTAAGCAAAACCCATTAAAAACAATAATCTGACAGCACATTAATACAGCATTTAGCTGGTTAAACCTCGATGGATTTGGATTTGGTTTGTAATAACTGGATCAATATTTCCTGCTTGATTGCATCGTTTCTGAATTTGTAGCGGTGACTTGTAAAAATAAATTTTTCCAATAAATAAAATGAAAAAGGGAAAGAGTCCTTTCTACACACCTTTAGATCCTGTATTATCTGGGGGGTGATCCACCTCTGTGGAGACTGAGCGTGTTTGGAGTAGTATTCTGCAACCTCCTGAAAATACAAAAGGTGTTTTGCCTAACTGGACCCAAATGACTTGCCTGAAATGTCACTTTGGCACTTTGCTCATCCGTGGAAAAGCTGCACCTTCCGGAGACTTTACTCTGTGTAAATGGAGGCATCTCTGGAAGTAAATCTACAGAAGAAATGTTTTCTGTTTTTTTTAATCTGTGGCTTTCACACAAAACAAAAGTCTACTCTGCCCACAGCTCCCACAAAGAGCCAAACACGAATGGCAATGCGATCCCTCAGCCTTACACTGCTTCACTGCAGTAACGCTGCTGTGACGCACAGCCAATTGGGATAATTATTCACACAATACCACTTGTGTATTCAATAGACTACTTGTTCTCTCGCTCTAATGAACAAATCCCGATTGCCTGAGTGAACTTGTGTTCACCGTCAAATCCTTTCATGTAAAAAAATGTTCATAAGTCCATCCAGGCAAACGAATCGCTCTGACGTTCCCGGCAGCTCTCGGCACTGACCTCCTGAGCAGGAAGCACGTATTGTCTCATGAAGTCTTTGACCTGCTGGAGAACGGCCCGGCCTGCAGCGGTCTGCAGGAACAGACCGTCTGCTGATGGACCCGTGTCGGACCTGGCAGGAAACATCTCACACGTGTTGGAAAGTCAATGGGCAACATGGGACACAACTCTGGCGGCTGACATACCCCTCTGCGAGCTGCAAGGCCACCTTTGCCAAGGGCTCCACGCACTGGCCGAACTGGGCTGCATTGGGAGCACTGGCATTACCCAGGAGGTGGCGTGCATAGACCCCCTGGTGGGGAAAAAAAGGCAGATGAAGGAGAGAGCAGACTGCATTCAAAGCTAACCATATCGCTGCATGTGCGTCTGTAGTGAAGGAGAAACTTGTGTGTGTAACCAACCTGTGCAATTCCTGCCATTTTAAAGACAGACAGAGCCAGGTAGAATTTCAACTGTGGCAAAGAAGACGGGATCCCCCGGACACGGCAGTAAATGGAGATCAGGTTTTCCACAGTTGGAATACCTGCTCATTGGTCAGAGGAACAAAGGGGGTAAGAGACGACGAAACAATTTGTGGAACAAATACTACGTCTATGGGTACGTGCGCTTTTACAGACGTTGGACCACAGCAATGTTCTGTGCATGGCTGTGATTTAATTGCTACCTTCTATTCCATTTAAGCTGCCCATAGTGCTGGAGATGTTAAGGCTTGTAGGCCAAAAGTGAGGCATGAGGAAGTAGGCCAGGTCCGCCAAGGGCTGCCCGGTGGTAGAGAGCTCCCAGTCCAGCACCGCCATCACACGGGCCTGATGACACCAGACGCACTTTGTGACGCATTCGCAGTCACTGTAAGCATTCGGGTGAGCGCGGCCGTTCCAGAAGTTGTACCTCTCTCGGGTGGAACATCAAGTTGTCCAGACGGAAATCTCCGTGGACAAGCGTGACCTCGTTATCGCCGGCAGGCAAATTCTTCATCAACCAATCAGACAGTTGGTTCATGGCCGGAATGTCCCGGTGGGCCGCTGCGGTGTACTGCTTTGTCCAGGTGGACACCTTTACGAGATGGAAAGACACTTCTGAATGTCACAACTCTAAATGTTCTTTTGCTAGACGCGTACGCAGCGTCATGCTCACTTGTCTCTTGCAGTAACCGGATCCTTTCCCATATCCGTCGAGGTTCAGTGACGCCAGGTCCAGGGAGTGCAGCTTAGCCAACGTTTCTACCGCAGCCACATACAGAGCTGCTCTCTCTGCTGCGCTCACGCCAGGCAGACGAAGATCCCTGAATATTCGCCCCTGTTCAATGCGCACGGATGAGGAAGTGTATGTTTTCACCCAATGACCAGTGACCACAATGTAATGACAGAGTGTGAATTCAGAAGACTGGGCTTCGTTTCGGTATGTCGAGTCAGCGTGACAGCAAGCAAACACCGGGGAGTCCAAATGTCATCTTTTATTGTTGGATTATGAAACAAAGGTTAAGAAAACTGCAATAAATATGTTACATGCAGCAACACTGGAATTTGCTCTTGGTAGCCACAAACTTACCTTCACATGCTCCATTAAGTAGAACTCGGTACCAATGATTTCAGGATCGGTGCAGTGGAGGAGAGGCTGAGGTACGGGGAACCCGGCAGAGAACAGGGCCTTCTGCACGCGATACTCCCGGTCCACCTATAAACACAGCGACAAAGGTTCACACAGCAACACAGCAGGCCTCAGAAAGCATCGTAAATCATATGTGACTGAAAATCTATAGGAGCCGTCTGGGAAAGGAATATGTGCTACAATATTCAGTTGTTATTGCTTACATTTCCTTTGTGATGTTTAGCAGTTTAATTCAAGGAGATTCTTGAGAAAAGGACCAACTGTATGAACAAAATTATACCTGAATTAACACATGTGGCTATGTGGCTATAATGAAATGTATGGACATGAACACTGGAAAAAAAGGAACGTCTCCATTTTGACCATAATTGGACTTCCAGGCCACATACTGTAATCAATTCCTGGAAACCTAGGAAATTATATGTTTGTAAATTACACAACAGCGCTTATTAAAAAAAACTTTATTTTCCACAAGCAACTTCTGTCAACAGCAAAACACGCGGCCGTTTCCATTAAGACAAAAACATTAGAAGATACAGAAACGCCACACGTGAAACTTGGACCATTTGTTGACCAAAGCTGTTGATCATCAGAGTGAAACCTTACAGGTACCTTGTGAGCTCCTGGCAGCAGCTCCCCGGGGGGCTTCTTCCTCAGAACATAACTGCTTGAGGGGCTTTGGATTAGGAAGGTTGGGTTTGACTGACCAGCGCTGGAAAAGAGAAACAACAGGAAGATTTTTTTTTTAATTTTTTTTTCTTTTTTTTTTTACAGTATTTGCTTTCACTCCCTCGGCGAGAAATGGTCAAATAATCCCCTCGTGTTTATCTGAACGTTACCTGTACTGTCTGACAGTGATCGCGTCATTGTTCGACACGGTCCGTGACTTGACAGACAGATACTTTTGCAGTCTGTCGACACTGAATTTGTGTTGCTGTCGAACAGAAGTTGTCGTGTCCTCCATGGCTCAGTTCTCCAGTGGATCAATCATCTCCAGCTGCGTTGTTGATAGTGGAGGTCGGACCAGTTACGTCTGCGCACACCGACGTAACGTCCTCAATGGAAGGGAAGGAATTCAACGTTACATCTTACGGATATTTGGCGCTTTTTTTTAAACCCAGCGGGACGTAAATAGTTTAATAGCAAATCCACGAGCACACAAACCGTTGAAATAATTAACGAACGTCAATTATGTAATTAAAAAAACAGTTTGAGGTATCTGGAACGTTACTCGTGTTCTACACGGACGCTATTTACAGTAACACACACGCTGACAGCTGACTTCAGCTCTGGAGACGTGTACAATTCGCTGCCGCTGAGCCGTGCGGTTTGCCCATTCGCGATATCGCCTTCTTCTCGTTGACGTTCCCTTCAGAGCCACTTGTTCTCCGCGATGGCGACCATCGAGGAGCTGAAGCTGCGCGTGAGAGAGCTGGAAAACGAATTGATAAAGTGTAAGCAGAAGCAGTGCGCCGCGGAGGACGCTCAAAACCAGCAGCTCCACAGACCCAAGATTGACAGGATGAGTGCCGAGGTTGTGGATTCCAACCCATACAGGTGCCTTTTTGTCTATTTATTTATTCTTTGTCCTTTTGGCATCGTTTGTGTGCGCTGATCTTCGCGCTAAGGGGGCGACGCCTCGTGACTCACCCATCAGCCCGCGTGGGGGGGAGAGCTAACCTCGGCATGTCTTGTCGTTGCAGTCGTCTGATGGCTTTAAAGAGAATGGGCATCGTGGACGATTATGAGGTATGATGTTCAAACGTGGCCCTTGGGCTTGTTTTTGCTGCTACACCCCAAATGTAAATAATCACAGACTGTGAAGGAAATGGCAAAAATGAGTTTATGTGATGTCAAAACATGCCAGATGATATTAACACCAATGTGCACTTCAGTGCATTGAAATGTGGATATAGATAAACATTAAAGACCACGTGACCTCTGCTAATATCAACCTTCCTAATGCTTTTTTCTTTTAAATGAAGCGATTGAGCGTGCCAATAAAATGATTGTCTCAATGTTTGCAGAAAATCCGGACATTCACGGTCGCCGTGGTCGGTGTTGGGGGAGTCGGCAGTGTGACCGCCGAAATGCTCACCAGATGTGGCATCGGGAAGGTAAAGCAAACGCTTTCTTTGTCCCGGGGGTTTGTCCGCCTGTGCTTGATCCGATCTCGTCTCTGCGCCGTCACAGTTGCTCCTCTTTGACTACGACAAAGTCGAGCTGGCCAACATGAACCGCCTGTTCTTCCAGCCTCACCAAGCAGGCCTCAGCAAAGTGGAAGCCGCCGAACACACGCTCAGGTATACTGCCGTTCAAAGTGATCTAATTTCCCGGCCTAAAAAGAGACGTGAAGTTTGTTTTTGCTTTTGCTTGCATGGAACTCGATTTTGATCGACAGGAGCATCAATCCAGATGTGTCATTTGAAACCCACAACTACAACATCACCACAATGGACAATTTTACACATTTCATGGAGCGCATCAGGTGAGCTTTTCCTACTCTCACCTCTCTAGTTTCATCACGCTGTTCCTCAGTGGCCTTCACAGCAGTTTATTCGGTTTCTCCTCAGTTCTGGAGGGCTGGAAGAAGGGCAGCCGGTGGATTTGATCCTGAGCTGTGTGGACAACTTTGAGGCCAGAATGGCTATCAACACAGTAAGTGCGGCGCGGTCACAGAAAGGAAACGCGCTACGCGTTACCCTTGCAGGTCGCATTCACCCGGTCGTGTTTGTCGCAGGCCTGCAATGAACTGGGTCGGATCTGGATGGAGTCTGGCGTCAGTGAGAACGCCGTATCGGGACACATCCAGCTCATCATTCCTGGAGAGACGGCGTGCTTTGCTGTACGTCCACACACACACACACACACACACACACACACACACACACACACACACACACACACACACACACACTGACATATCTTCTCTCCATTTCCCTGTGAGGAAAGACCACTGTAAAGGTTCCATTGTAACGCAGTGTCACTTCCCTCTGATAGTGTGCTCCTCCTCTGGTGGTGGCCGCTAACATCGATGAGAAGACCCTGAAAAGGGAGGGCGTGTGTGCTGCCAGCTTACCGACTACGATGGGCGTGGTCGCGGGTCTCCTGGTGCAAAATGTCCTCAAGTAAGACGTCATTAGTCAGCGCGCAGACCTACTGAAGGAAGGACGGCCTGCATAAGTAAAATATTGTCGTCTTTCAGGTTTCTGTTGAAGTTTGGAACTGTCAGTTATTATCTCGGCTACAACGCCATGCAGGACTTCTTCCCCACCATGGCCATGAAAGCCAACCCCCAGTGCAGCGACCGCTACTGCAGGAGGCAACAGGAGGAGTACAAGGTGAGGGATTTTTCCATTTGTGGCGGAATACCTGCCAAAAACGGACCGTGCACTGCAATGCGGTGCAGGGAAAGCTAACCGCGTCCATCTCTATGAATGCCTCACTTCAGAGGAAGGAAGCAGAGCGCCCCAAGGTTGAGGCGGTACAGGAGGAGGAGGAGGAGGAGGTCGTACATGAAGACAACGAGTGGGGTGAGAACGCAGCAGACCGCTATGCAAGCGAACAGTGTCGGATTGGGAGCTGCTCGTCTTTTTTTGTCATTTTTCTGTGTATTAACACACGATTGTACGGTGCAGGTATCGAACTAGTATCAGAGGTGACTGACGCAGAGCTACAGGCTGCTTCGGGCGCTGTGCCTGACCTCCCTGAAGGCATCACCGTGGCTTACACCATTCCAGTTGAGGTTGGTATTTGGTGACAAATCACTTCAAAGCCGTTTTTGTAAGTGAAGTCGTTTTAAATGATTCACTTTGACGGCTGACGGCTGTTTCTTCTTGTTTGGACCAGGATACAGAAAGTGGGGATACGGTGGGAGAGACGGAACAGAGTCTGGAAGACTTGATGGCTCAGATGAGAAAGTTGTAGGCAACAATCTGAAGATTCTATTCAGATAGGATGTACCTTTTTTTTTTTGTCGTGTGTCTAAACAAAAAGACGATTAATGTCAAATAAACAATTGCAGAGTTCTAACAGGTAAAGAACAGAAATGCATGAACTGCTTCTGATGGCATAACCGCTTCTCACGTGTGTATTTTCTACGGTTTTGACCGGTGAAAGTTTGCCTGCCTTTTTAATGCGTTAACAGCTTTAAAAAAAAGAAAGAAAAAAGATTAAAATCTTTTGAAATTGTTATTTATTAGATGGAATACAATCTTGTTGGATGTGATTTTTCTTGTCCTGTACAGTTTTTACATATAATACTATAACATTAATATATTTAAACTTACATAAATGTGTTATCTCTTTGGGATCACGTACAGTCAATACTCCATTTTACTAACATATGGCACTATCTTGGTTTTGGAAAATCCCTTAAAATCATTTTTGTTAATAGATAAATACAGAGTTTTGCATAAAAATGAAATGTCATTTCTTTTCAGACCAGGACAGCTTTTTTGGGCACTGATCTTCGATTCAACAAATGGCATCTAAACATACCAATTTCCACAAAACGCACATTTCAGTCAGAACATCAGTAATGTAAACTTGGCAACAAGTCTGTGTGAGGTAAAACATAACGGCACAATCAGACTTGGTTATGGAAATATTTGATAGCTCATACTTTATCACTGAAAAGAAGCATAAGGACTCATTTTCACTGAACCTTTTCCTTTGAAAACAAACATGAATAATCGTTTTTTCATTATATATATATATATATATATATAAGGTTTTGGAAGTGCACAGAACATTATCTGCTATGCTGTGAAAGCACATTAATTGTTGTTTGGGTGTGATATCCCAAACTCTCTTGGCATTCAGTGAGGTACCAAAACAAGACATATCAATGATGAATGTAAACTCCATAAGAAGTAGTGATATAACTAAAGGGTTTTTATAAAAAAAACACATGATTATGTAAGAAATATTAAAACAAATACTTTTGGTAAATACAAATATTTATGAAACCAATAATTATACTGGCGGGTAAAGTCTAAACGCTAAAAACTCCATCCAGGCAATAATGGCAGTGTGATGACCAGAATGGATGCCATTTAAATAAAACCATGTGGTCTGGTGTTTTCATTATGGAAAAGTCATCAGCCTGTATTGCCCCTGTGGCAATAAGTGGCTGAACAGAGTCACCTGTGGGCAGGGGGGAGGGGAGCAGGTCCCTTCAGGCTGAAGGTGTCCCCGCTGGAGGAGTGGCGGGACGGAGCGTTACCACACGCCAACGACGGCTCCGCCTCCTTGATCTCCATTGCACGCTTGTAGAGCTCCGCCGCCTTCTCAAAGTCCCCCTCTTCGTAGCTATTTACCAAACATGAATGAAAAACTTTTCAAACGCAACGTTCGTGCCCGGCCGAATGTGCAACGCCAAATACTGTACCTCAGCACAGCCAAGTTCTTAAGGGTCTCCCCCACCCGTGGGTGGGAGCGGCCCAAACTGTCCTCGTACACTTTCAGTGCTCGTTCATAAAGAGGCAAGGCTTCACTGTGCTTCTTCTGCCAAAGACAAAAAAAGAATCATTACGTTAGCTTTTGCTCAACACAAAGATTTCATTAGTCAAATACAAGAAAATATGTGCGAATAGTTCTTAAGAAACAAACGGGGAGCGGACCAAATGAAGCGTGATGAACATTCCTTACTAGTTGACAGTAGATGACAGCCAGGTTGACCAGCGCTGTGGCCACACTGGGGTGTTTGGGCCCGAAACTTTTCTCCCTGATTTCCAGAGACAGCTCGTAAAGCGGCATGGCTTTCTCCAGCTTCCCCTGCAAAAAAAACACGCACGCATCTCGGGAAGTCAGATTCCCGCGCCAGCGACGAGTTAAACTGAGCTGCTCGGACAGAAAATGAAAGTCTCACTCTGCGTTTGTAGAGCATGGCCAGGTGTTTGAGTGTGTATGCCAGCGAGGGGTGGTCTGGGGACAAGGCCTTCTTGCGGATGTCCAGCGCCCTCTCATACATGTCCTCGGCCGTCTCGTACTCCCTCCTCTCCGTGTGCAGCGCAGCCAGGTTGTTGAGGGACTGAGCACAGTCCGGGTGATCCGCGCCGAGGACGCGCTGACGCATCTCCAGAGATCGGCTCAAGAATAACTTGGCTGCACTGGTGAGGGAGAAGGGTGGGATTTATCCATTTCACGTGTACCAGATGATCGTGGACACACAAATTAATTTATTCATTTGTCTGTGTGCATTGCAGCTGTGCCTTACTCCATGTTGTTCTGCAGGTAGTACAGAACACCGAGTTCATTCAGTGTCTTAGCAGAGTCTGACGTCTCCTTTCCCAGGGTCAGCTCCTCCAGCTGCAGCGCTCTGCGCCTCAACAAAGTGAAGCCGTACTGAAAGGTGGAATTTACGAGAGGCGTTTACAATCATGAATGCTGCATGAGCGCGCGTGGCGAAACGCGTGCGGGTACCTGGGGAGAAGCGCTTACCATGTGACCTTTCTGTCGAGCGGTCTTCTGACGGATCTTCACTGACCTTTTCCTGAGTTTCTCTGCCTGTTCATACCTGATTGGAAGAATGCCCGGCGTGAGCCGTTAAACAAAGGCCTCCGACATGAGGTCATCACAACAGCTGGGACGCCACTCTCACACTCTGCCCGGCAGGAACAACCAATAAACTGGACCACATGACAACTGAATGACATCATGCACTTGAGCAGGAGAGAACCATTTACTTGTTTTGCTTCTGATAGAGCGCGGCGAGGGACTCCAGCTCTCGGGCGACGCTGGCGTGCTCGGCTCCGTAGGCGTTCTCACTTATCTCCAGGGCCTGCTTGTACAGCTGCTCAGCGTTGCCATACTTCTTCCACTGGACGTACACAGCGGCCAGCTGGTGCAGGGAGCAAGCTACGCTGGGATGATCGGGGTCCAAGGCCGTCTCCCTAATCTCAAGCGACCTTTGCAAAGGTGCTACTGCCTACGAAAACGGAAATAAATCAAAACACGTATGCAATTTAAATAAATGAAAGACACATGTTTATGCTGCTGTGTGACTAGAAAACGATTAAAATGTTTGTTTTTTTATCCGTTCACTACCTGGCTGGGGAGGCCCAGGTCTTTGAGGAAACGTCCCAAGGTCTCATACAGGTTTGCCAGCTTGGTCATGCTGTCTTCGCCCTCACAGCTCTTCTCGTAGTGTCTCAGGGAGTCAAAGTACTCAGTGGCCATGGAGCTTTTGTCTTTGCCCACATATTGCCAATAGGCCAGCAGCTCGGAAAAATGACCCCTAGAAAAAGGAAAACACAGCGTCCAGACTCTGCCCGAGTAAATGTCCAGCATCAGCTTCAGCGTGTGCGTCATGCGATTACCTCTTGTAGAGGTTCTGGGAGACAAAAAGGTTCAGGAGGCTGAGCTGCAATTTAGTCCTGTCCTCCTGCTGCTGAAGCAACCAGGGCAGCTCATCGGCGACACGCCACGTGACCCGATCCTGGCTACACACGCACAATGACACTGAGTTACACCGGCAGAGGAAGGAGGGTTGTGTTGTATGAGGAGAAGATGACTACTCTACCCGAGCTGTTGACTGAAGTACTGGATGAGTTTCTCTCTGTAGGCAGCCGAGCTACTTCCTCCACCCAGGAACTCCAGCCTCACAGCTTCCCAAGCCTGAAAGACAAACGCACTTCAAAAAGAATATCGTGGTTTTTAATGCACTTTGTATTTGAAATGACTTTGGGGCGGATTATTCTACCGGGCCGCAGCCCAGTTACCTGCAGGTGTTGAAACCTGATGAGCCCACAGCGCAGCGTGACGACGCAGAGTCTGTTCAAACGGTACAGCAGAGTGGAGAGGACAGGCAACTCCAGCTCTGGGAAAAGATCCAGCACCTCTGATTCACTCACTCCATTATGGCTGGCACATACGAGGCACAGCATCTAAGGGGGGATAAAAGACCAGCACATGAGAGATTCCTCTGAAAACCAGAGAGAAATTACAGCAAAAAGGTCATTGTTACTGGTATCATGAGAACACAATATAACAATTATATAACGTTGAAAAAAAAAGAGGTCACCTCTCTCATAATGTGTCGCTCTCGGTCCGTGTTCAGGGAGTTGAGAGTCATCTTGAGCGCCAGGCGGTAGAGTGACATGGTGTCCTGACACTGTAGACACTGCTCCAGGCTCCTCTCCACTGACAAACCGGATACACTGCTGAGCGCCAACAAAACATTTGATATTATTCAGAGACAATCATTGCGATGAAACGATAAAAATAAAATCGGCACCAACTCATTTTGTAGAACTTTTTTTAAATGATCAATGCATTTAGAAACGAGAGGTGACCAACCTGATGATCATTCTCCCCAGTAGCGTGACGTACAATGCATTGCAGGTCGATGCAGAGCGGCAATGCCTTTCTAACTTCTTCTCCTGGGACAGAGAAGCAACTTTTAAATGCGTCATTCTCCCAAAAAAAAGGTATCGCTGTCAACAGTAAGAAAGTAGAGTGGGATTGTGGGACAATAACGCACCTGGTCCTTGGTCAGCTGGAGATCCATGCCCTGGCACTCTGCATCGACAATGCTTCGGACCTCCTTGGGACTCAGTGGGTCTAAGTGGAGTGTCGGCCATAACCTAATCAGTCACGGTCGCTCAATTACAAAAGGGCAAGACTACGGAAGCATATTTAGAAGAATACACAGTACCACTGCATGGAAAATGAATAGAAAGCGGAACAACACAGTAAACCGACTAGAATATCGGGAAATAAACTGTAGATTTCACCTCCAAGCTTGAGGACAAGTCTCAACTTTGACGGACACCACCACTCGGACATTGACAGGGAGAGGGTCGATTAGCCACTTCATGTGTCTTTCTGCCTGCTGAAATAAACAGAAAACAAGAGCTAGGAGTTAGAAAAGGAATTATTCTAAAAAGAAACCCTCCAGTCTGAGGTGTACCTGTATTTGGTCGATGGAGTCGATGATAATGATGATGTTTCCTTGATGGCGTGCAGATAGTCTTTCAAGCCAGCGGGGAAATTCCTCCAAGATCTTACTGGGCTCCATCGACAAGCCAGAAATGGACCAGAAGTGCTGCAGCAGCTACGTGAGAAGCAACAGAAAACACCTTTATTATTATTATTATTATTGATTCTTCATAAAGCAAGCTTTCAGAAGCGGCACTGAGAAAGACTCCTTACTTTAATTGTGAGGCGTTTGATGATGAGAACCGGCTCCGAGCTTGTGGAAAGAGGACGGCCAACAAAATGATAGAGGAACAAAGTGTTGGGGGAATGCTTCTGCTGCTGCTCGATCCTGAAACAGCATTAACCAACAAAGGTTAGAAAACCATCACAGAAAGTCCACTTCCAGGATGACACGTAACACCATTGAAAACAACGGACAGATCCTCTGCAAAAGCACCTTTCAGTCTCATCAAATTCTAAAGGAGATCTCATTGTTTGGTCCATTTTTTTACTGAAGTCAAATTGAAAAAAGATGACATGAAAAGACTGCTCAACATGAATCAAACGCATACAAAAACTACTTTTAATGGTCTCCCATGGGTCTCAGTTAAGAAGTGTCTACAGGTAGACTGACTAAACTGACTGAATAAGTTCTCACCATTTGGAGAGCAGGAGAGACTTTCCTGAGCCCGGACCCCCAGACACCAGCAGGGGAGGGGTGGGAGGGGGAGCAGCGATCATGTCATTTAAACGATCTATGTACTGAGAGGGACACCAGGTACATCACAGGCTTACAGTTAATAAACACAGTATTAGGCTGGTAGACACGATCAGGAGAGCTCAAAAGAAGGGGACATCTGGCCCACCTTCTGGAAGCCCAGCTGGGGGCTGCTGCTGCTGCTGCTGCTGCTGCTACAGGCCTGCTGGTAAGACTCGATCTGCTCCTGCTCATCATGCAGGTCCCACAGTACGTCTCCCGAGTCCTCCTCGCGACCCTCCTCCATCCCAGAGTCCATGGAATCAGCATCTGCTCCTTCAAGTCCCAGCAGCTCCTGCATGGTGAGAGTAGAAGTGGGAGTTCAAGCCACTGACAGGCGGGAGGAATGGACAGAAACCTCCACGCACACACAACATTTGCAACCGGGTCGATAAAAAGGCTGATGTTGCTGATAGTCTGTACCTGTTTGATGACTTTCTCCAGTTGAAAAAAAATGAGGTCAGCCCCCTCCTCTGCAGAACCATCATGGTCCACCACCTGGGTGAATACAGAATGACAACTTGTATAGCAAAAAACACAAAACCGCTGCTTTATTATCAAAAAGGCACGTATTATTGTGAATATAAATGCTGCATTAATCGAATGCACATGTAGAACACATTCCCTCAGTACTTTGTTGAGATATCCTCTCTCCTGCATCCTGCTTCGTAGTTTAATTATTTAACAAAGCGCACAAACAAACCTTGATTTTAGCAGCCTTGTCTGCCGCATTGACCCTTTCTAGCAGCTGCCTTGTAGGTCCGGTCAAATTGTGATCTTCTCCAGTCCTGAGGTAGAGCACCAGTGGATGGCCATCTGGATTCTTCACAAAAGCCTCCTCACAATCCTCCAGCACAGAGCTACACACATGCATTAATATTGGATGATGTTTTCTTAGTATCCTAGTGAGATATCCTAGTGAGGATGGTGAGTAAGGCCTTACTGTACCTAGTGACAGTAGATTTGACAAAAAGCACACACACGGAGCTCCTTTCAATCTCCTGCTTGCGCTCCGCGGCGTACGAGGCGGCGTTCTCCTCCGGGAAGCAGACATTCAGGTAGAAATGGCCCAGACCTTCACACATTCTGCGTAACACAGGTGAATGTTTCTGCAATTAAAAACACAAGGAAAAAAAACAATAGATCAGTGATAATGCAATAATAACACAAAAACAGAATATTCATAGTTTTTCCCCAAAGTGCCCATTTCACCAACCTTAATAAAGACATCAAACTCGGCTTTGGTCTCCTGGGTAAAGATAAGGTAGCAGCGCACTGTGTTACTCCACAAGGCCTGAGGAACATGAGGCGAGACCTGAAGCAGACTGGCCACGGCAGCATCCCAGTCATCTGACACAATCACACGAGAAGGGTTGTGGTAGAGACATTAGGGGATCATTGGAATGCATAGTTCAAAAGGTAGATATACACCCATTAAACATGATAAGTAGGTAGTGTATGAAGGGGGTCAATAGCAGCAGAATTTATTTTCCAGAGGTCATACTAGCAACTATGGTCACGAGGTAAAGATGTTTGGGTACCTCTGTGTTGCCCACAACCAAAGATATAAAGCCTCCCATCTTTCTGCGGACCTATGAAGTTGACTTACCTCTGCCCACATTCGCAAACGGTCCCTCAACATCTATCAAACTGTGGGCGAATTCCGGGCCTCGAAAGGTCTGCTGCAACTGCATCATGCTCCCCATGGAGGGCTCACTTCCCAACACACCACCGGACCAGTACTCGCACTGTGTGCCTGCAGCTAAAGACATACAGGTAATGAAAGGCTTCAGATGATTTCGTCATAATAAACCTTACATTTTGCATTCTAGTGGCAGCTAACATACTGGAAGAGGAGTCTCACCGGTGACCGTGGTTTGGTTGTCGTCTGAGTCTGAATCATTCAGGTCATACACTTGGATGCCCTGAGCCTGCAACTGTTGGAGTTTGGCCTCCAAGTCCCTCTTCGCCCGCAGGAGGTCCTGAATTTCCTTTTCTTTCGTCTCCCGGAAAATCTGATGGCGATCGAAGCCAACCGGTTAGCGTCTTAATCGCGATTAACTGAAAAAGAGCTCCTCGGTACCATGAGGTTTAGTGTACCTTGAACTGTCGTTTCACTTTGTCCCGGTCGTGTTCAAAGGTGGCAGCTCGCTCCATGGCTTGATACTTTGCCTCAAGGGCACTCTCTTTTTCTCTAAGAATCTTCTGGTAGGTCTTCTGCAGAGCCTGTTGTCCCATTGGCAAAGAACATCACAATGAGACATGTTAAAAGCGTTAAATGTTCTCGCCTTGACAAGCACACAACCCCCTGAAGCACTGAATCACCTGCAGCTCAGCCCTCAGCCTCTTGTTCTCCTCATCCAGCTTGGCCTCCTTCTTTTGCATGGACGAGATCTCGTTATTCTTGCTCACGCGGAAGATCTCGTACTCTTTCCGGAGTCTTTCATACTCCGCAGCATACTCCAGATCCACAGAGCCCGTGGACTTGAAACTGGCCCCGATCACCCGGGGTCCTCTGCGGAAGGAGCTGCGCAGGAGCCGCGCTTTGGGCTTGACCTCCACCGGGATCTCACAGGCTTCCCCTCCCTCACCCCCGTATCCATCCTCGATCACCTCCCCCGGACTCACCAAAGAGGATGCGGTGCCCATGGCGGCAGCCTGTGCAAAGAGTCCTCAACCTTCTCGGACGCCCATGGCTGCTCCTGTGCGATGACAGAAAGGACGGGAGGAGGGAGGGGAGGTGATTGAGAAAACCTCTTTAAAATAACAAGGCATGCTTGAATGTTATTTTAAAAGTGTCAGATAAGAAATGCTTTGACGTCAACGTGTTTTGCAGTTAGCGTCGTCCAGCTATAACTTGTTACTCGGTTAGCTAACGTTAGCTGACGAGTTAGCTCTCCATCCTCGCGGCATTAATTTGTTTTAAAGACTAGCAGAGCGGGACGATAGTGTCTGCGCACGTTTAGCGAGCTTCGACGGAGCCTTGACTCGGACGTAAACTGTAGGCGTAAACATACGAAGCCAGCTACGGAGAACAAACAATGCGACACTCACGGTCCACTCCCTTCGCGGCTGCTTTCCTGCTGCCTTGGTAACGGGTCATACTACGGGTGCCCGCACAAGCCAAACTGGGCAAAAGTCAATTTTCTTGAAATACGGTAACTGTGCAAAGCTCACCTGGCTGGCAGGTTCTGCATCAGGACTCATAGTTGTAATAGCAATAGTTAAAATATACTTATTGAAATTAAATCTTTAAATGGGCAGTGGAATGCTCTCTAGAAATATCTTGTAAATTAGTAGATGTGAGCTATGCTGCATCCAATATGTTATCTTCTTAAAAATGACTTGCTGAGTTAGCGTTATTATTATCTAAAAGTAGAGTAATAACGTGTCACTGAAGCACAGGCATCTTCAACTTTACAGTAGTTTAGATGTTAAGTGAAAGCTCACAAGTTTTGAATCCTTAATATTTTGGTTATCATAAAATAAAGATAAATCTAACCCTCTTTTAGCAAATATTCTTACTGATAAATTATCAAATGTCTCACAGCCCAACTAGAGGAGTATTTTTCATCTACAGCCTTCAGCGGGTTTATGTTCAAAAGCAGTGGTCATTCAACCAATCATCAAAACATTCATGATGATCAGATCACTAGAACAGATACAAAAAGAGGACAGTTTGTGTTAAAACATTTATTGTCTACATTTTGTATTATTGATCATCTTTATTTTTTACAGAACAGCTGAAGCATCTTGTCCCTGTATGTACGGTTCAGGAAGAAATACATCACAGGATCTAGTACACCACTAACACACGTCAGTGCAGATGTGATCCGATTGGCTCTTCCGAGTGACTCCTGCGTCGCTGCAGTCATGTGACCGCGACTGTGGCTTTCGAGGTAGATTACCCTGCTCACATGATAGGGCACGAATGCAATAAGGAAGTTCATCACGATGAGAATGATCATTCTTACAGCTTTGTCCTTCACTGGTCGTTCCTCCTGTTGCTTGATTCCCCTTAGTTTTAGCAGAAGCAGTATGTAGCAAACCACTATGGTGGTGAGGGGAATAACAAATGCCACTATAGTGGAAAGTAAAGCCTTCGGAGATGCCTTTTCTAAGTACAGCTTGTTGCAGACACCCGTTGAGTTGTTGCTCACGATCCCTTTGGATAAAAGTATTGGACTCATAGACACAATAATTGTCACCCAAAGTATACCAACCGCAATCTTTGCATAACTAGCCTTCCTTACTGACAGTGATTTTATGGGTAAAACTACAGCCAGAAATCTGTCCAGGCTGATAAAACTCATCAAGTAAATGCTGCAGTACATGTTAAGGTAAAAGAGGAAACCTGCTATTCGACAGGGGACATGTCCAAAAGGCCCGTGGCGATTGGACAGGTGGTAATCTATTCGCACGGGTAAAATGAGAACGTAAGAGATGTCTGCTATGCACAGGTGCCTCAGGAAGACCTTAAACGGAGATGTGCACTCTTGGCGAAAGAAGGCCCACAGCGCCAAAGCGTTCCCAGGGACAGCCAGGAGGAGAATCAGGATGTAAAACGTAGAAAACAGAATGTTCTCTCCATGGGAGTCACTTGCATAGAAGCCCCGTGTCTGCTCCTCTGAGATGTTCATTGTTGTTACGGAGAGGCTGTCTGCTGCAGCGCAGACACAAATCACCTGTTATGAGGACAGTCGTGTCAAGCGATTCACCAAATCACACGTTGTGACATTACAAAAATAAGAATGCAAGATACATGTGACAAAAATATGATTCCAGTAAAATGTGGTGACATCATGCAAGATCACATGTAAGTTAAGCTTATTACAGGAACCAGGAACCGTGCATGAAAGGTCAAAAGATGTTTATTTCCACAGAACACCCACTGATAAACTGTCAAACAGCTTACTGCAGATACTGATAAAAAAAAGCTACGTAATACGATTGTTTAAGATTACACCCTGACTTTAATTGGCATTTAAACAACTCATTTTTTAATCAAGTTGCATACCCATTTTATACAAAATTATTTATTTTATGGTCAAAAATATTTGATAATAGTGATATAGTAGTAGTGATTGATAATATAAATGATCATATTGTAACATAGTTTGTGGTTTAAAAATTCAAAGAAAAACAATTTACCACAAGGGCTCAGTGACAGTTAAATAAACAAACTGATGTATTATGTATTTTAAATGCTAAAGCAATACTGTGCCCCCCCATTAAACACAATTTGTAGTTAAGCACAACCTCTGTCCTTTACTATTTAATTCTGTTATTAGAGCAAGATTGTATAAGTGCACTGAGGGCATCAACCCCCACATGTAGCCGCGTCAATAATTAGTAATACAACTGATGCCTTTTTCTTACCTTTCGATTGTAGAGTTCAGAAGGATGCAGGATATGCATTGACTAGAAGTGTAAAAGCAATCGTGTCGCACCAGGCAAGGGAAGTGGAAATGAGAACCGGACTACAGCTCGGCGGTTATGCGCACACATGTACGCACGCACCCACGCACGCACAGAATTAAAAAGGAAGCCAGAAACAAAACAGACAAAAATAAAGACATTGAAGCTCAATGCATTACAAGCATGCACATCTTTATTTTTGCTACTCCAACACAGTTTTTGTCTTCACCACATTGCTCCGTAATAGTCTGATTTAAAGCTTTACAAAAACGAGAGAAAAACCAGATATTTACAAAATCTACTTGTGCAAACATAATTCTTTTTTTTTTTTTTTTTACATCACTCTCCTAAAGTATTTGAAAGGCATGCATACAAACAGACTTTGGTATGTTAACAAAACTACTTATTTTCTTAGTAGAAGCATCTATGTACATGTGGTAGAACTGATTCACTTTGTTTTAGTACAGTTTACATTTAGACAACAATACATTGTTAACCTAACAACCCAGGACCACCAGCACAAACACTGAGGTCAACACTTCAGCCGCCAGGCCGAGAGAGTGCATGTAACTTACTCTTAATCTTGTGACAGGATTAGGCCTGAAGTGAATCATTGTACAACAACTTTGGCAAATAGGCACACTAAAATGAAAACTTGTATTACTTATGATACCAGTTTTGCATATCTGTAAAAGAAATTGGCAGTTTGTATGGTTGAAAATTGAGAAAATTTTCTTGGAAAACAGTGGTTAATAATGAGTTTGACAAACATTTGTATACATTATGTATATACTCATAAAAGGCATTTACAAGGGCTGTGTTGAATGTCTGACAACATAAGAAATATAGAAGATTAAATATGCTATAGTTATTCAATCTCTGGTTTGAAAAATAAAACACAGTATTTGATATGGTACTTTGCGATTGTACATAAATTCTATATTCCCCTAACTACAGCAAAAAAAATAGATTTTCAACACCACGAGTCTTTCACATCTACAATGTGGTAAAACTAAACTTTTCTTCTTTTTTTTTCTACTTCCTTTATAAAAAAAATTGACAGAACATGTGCCACACCTCCAAGAAAAAAATGTAAATTGCAACTTAAAAGATATAGAAGCATCGGTGTGAGAAGGCCAGTGTACAATAAAACATTAAGTGGGGGAGTGCGTTACTTAATACTTTTACAGGAACAGAATAAAACAGCAAACCAAAGCCAAAAACGAAACTCGACCGGCTGTACCTGCGATGCGGTAAAGCCACAGGGGCCATAACGGGGCTAAGCGGCGTCCTTTGCTGCCGTGGCTGTCGGGATGCAGGATTTGCCGCTGCTGCCGTTGTGGGACCTGTAGCTGGTGAAGCTGGGGGTGTGTATGGTGCGGATGCTCTTTCCGCCTGGGCCCACAGGAGTGGGCGACAGAGGGGAGGGGGAGGAGGAGGAGGAGGTGGAGGAGGATGAGGAAGAGGAGGAGAATGAAGAGGAGGAGTGCACTCGACCATTCTGAGTCTGCGAGGAGAACGAGAGAGCTTTACCGGTGTGCTGTGAGGGTGAGGGGAGTTTGAGAGATCCGTTAGACAGGGAGGGGATGTGGGAAGAGGGTTGGGAACCGGAACGAGAAGCGGGGGAGGACAGGGTGTTGGACTTTATTGCAGAGGAGGAGGAGGAGGAGGAGGAGGAGGAGGAAGGGTTAATGGGATTAGTGCATCGGAGTTTTGCACAGACTGGGAGCTGCCTTTAGTAGAGCTAGGGTAAAAGCAGGGATTTTAGAGGTGGGGGTAGTAGGGGAAGTAGTTTTATGATCCCCTCCCACTCTTTTAGCACTTCCGTTAGCCTGCAAACAGAAACGCCAAAACAGATACTGGTTGTCAGAAAGGAAATCTGGTCAAATAGTACATACAAAAGGCAAGACTAAGCTAAAAACAAAACCCCCTACAAGTTCTACACATAGAAACACACTAAGAGTACACAAACGTGATCACTGGAACACAACGATGAATACCAAAACGACAACAGGTTGGTTTGTCCTACGTTAAATGAAGACAGCGACAGATTGGACCGAGAGACTTGTTAACCAGAAACAGAACACTGCGAAGGTTAGACCGTGCGATGGCAGACAGGACGGGCGTCTCTGCAGACCGCCCATGTTAGAGTTAGGCCTCTTTAAGGGGAAGTGTGTGTGGGGGGTGGGGGGCATTCACAAGGCAAAGGATGCATAGGAAGGCTGGAGAGACATCGATTGAACAGGCTCAGGGGGTTTGAAGCGTGGGAGCAGACAGGGGAGATGTGGGCCGGTGTTCCACTGAAACCCACGCCGCAAGGTGGTGAGTTGTGGCTCGGTTCTGGGGGTAAGGAAATACAGCACCGGGAGGTTAAGAAGCCGCGTGGTGCGTTGTGAGAAAGGGAGGAGCGCAGCCGAAAGAGGCGGTTAGGTTTTGTGTTTTAGCTTTTAGCCACAAGCATCGTGGGTTTGGCAACACTGTTTAGGAACTCAGCTGTGATGGGAACGAGAGATAGGAGGACAACTCAGACGATGACAGGGTAGGATTCCGGTTTTCTGTTTTTTTTTTTTGTCACCAACACAGTGAAAACCATGAGCAGTGTGGACATGCGAAAGCAACCAGTACAGTGATGTTATGGGCAAACAGTCAAAAGTCAAACATGCCTTCTTGTCAGAGCAGACACGAGAGAAACAGATCCACATCCGTCACCGAGGTGACTTCATTTTTTTTCTAAACACTTAAAATCTCACAGCACAGTCTTTTTTTTTCCCCCTCTAACAATACAAGCCTGATGTTTTTTGCTATACGTTAGATTCCTCTAGTCTCTGGCAAGGCCCTACAGTAAAACTACCTGTCGAAACTGCCTCTGAGCGTCCTGCAGTTTTTGTTGTTTTCCTGCTTTGTCAGAGGCACCCGGCGACTGCCTGGACTTCGCAGACAAAGGGACGGGCATCCGACTAGTAGGGGAAGCGACACTGGTGTTCTGCAAGGGGATCCAAACGAAAAACAAAAGAAGAAATAAAACAAAAGAAAGAAAAAAAAACACACACACACCACAAAGGAAGTATGAAAAATCAAGGCACTGACAGGTAACGCCTCAACGATTAACACCAGTGAAAGATCATGCACCCAGTGGGACCATACACCTTTAAGTCAACACACAGCAGTACATGCAGTCAAGAATAAGGAAGATATCAGAGCTTAATCATCACAAGAGGGTTTTTGATGATGGATTTGCTGAAAACCTCAGGAGGTTTAAGCAATGAACTCAAGGAGACACACGGTAGCCAGGAACCCGACCAAAGGACCCCCAAACATGTCACCATGATTTCACAGAAAGAGAAAGCCTTGGGGGGCATTTCCAAAAATGTCCAAGCACCTGTGGAGTGGATTAATGATTTTGTGATTTCAGTGGTTAGGATTGGAGTGAAGGTAGGTTGTAAACTGAAAAAGTAGGAACCAAAGCCTCCCCGGAGGAACAAGAGCTAGAGAGTGACCTGTCGTACGGTGGTGGGGGCACTGGGGACAGTGGTGGTGGTGATGGTGGTGCTGGTGGTAGTAGGGAAGACTACAGGGCGAGGAAGGAGTTGAGGTTTAATCTTCTTCAGCAGTGGATTTTTGCTGGGTACCTTAGCGCCTGGCCCTCTGGAGGTGGGGAGAGAGGAAGACCTCTTCAGCCCCACTCCTTCCGAGCTTTTCCCGCACTCCGCTTCCTCCGTGCCGACCGGCTCCCCGGGGGACTGCGGCCCCATCTCACTAATGGTGGTCTCCAGCTGCTTGATGGTCTGCTCCAGGCTGTCCAGTGTCTTGTAGGTGTTCTTCCGGATCTCGTCCGTCCTGTGGAGGGAGTCGGACTTCTGCCTCTTCGGCGCGGCTGAGCCCGTCGCCTTGTGTGCGTCCGATACGGACTTTGAGCGCGTGATCTCAAATCTCTTCGCTTCTTTGTGCTGTTTGATGGTACCGTCGGATTCCTCCTCATCTTCGTACACGACCACCTGCAAAGTCTTCTTTCCGGACTTGGTGCCCGAGCGAATTGCCTGGCTCAGGGCCGCCAGTTGCTTCTTGGGGAACTTAAATTTGAACTTCTTCTTGACATCCTGCTTGCCGTCGCCGTTTGACTCCAAATTCATCCCGCCCTCGGTGAGCTCGGGGATCGACGACGAAGACGAGGATGACAAGCTGGTGTGGTCGGCGGCGACCTTCGGAGGAGTGACGGCGACCACCGCCGCTTTAACCTGCCCGCCGCCCCTCTCGGTGTCCGACTCCTCGCTCTCCTCCTCGATGCACTCCGCCGCCAGCATCCTGTCCATTTCCTCTTCGCATTCAAAGACGGTGGACAGGCGCTTGTACGCGGACCGGATGTCCATGGGCTCGTCAAAGATGATGATGACGGGCTTCTTGTTGAAGCCGTTATCCTGCGGCGCGGTGGGTTCTGCGGTCGGGCTGCCCCGGTAAGGGGCATTGCCTAAAGTAAAAGTCTGGAAGTCGTTTCCCTTTTTGGCGTCGACCAGTTCCTGGTACTCGCCACGGGAAAGGGCCTGAACTTTGGTGTTGGTGATCATAAAGGCTATGTTGTCGGGGGGCGGGGGCGGCTCTTCTCCAGGCAAGTCCGGACTGAGACTCGCCCCGTCATGATACTCCTCAAGGTTAGATTCGGATGTTGGTAGATCGCTGCCCTCGCCTGGAGGCTTTTTTGGTGGAGCAACAGAACTTTTTGGCGCCTCTCGTACGGCGGCGGTCGTTGTGGTAGCCGCAGCCTCGGGTATTATCATTTTACTATAATCAACACGTTGCTGGATAGCTTTACTTTTCCTTTCAGTATTCATTTTATTGAGGTTCTTTCCCTTCTCCATTTCTGCACTGGTCTTCAAGGACTCAGCGCGCTTGACTTGCGTCCTTGGAAGTTTGAACCCTTTCAGTCCCACGGGCTTGGGTGATATAGGTGGAGGTGTGACAGGTGGTGGTGATTTGGGTGGTGGAGACTGTGGCGGCTGCTGCTGCTGCTGCTGCTGCTGGCTTGGAGAATTGTCGTTAACATTGACATTTGACACCTGTGATGGAGGCTGTGTGGGCTCCCGGTGTTCGGGGGTTTCCTCTGTTCCTGACGGGGGCGGATGCTCTTTGGGAATCTGACCGGTCACATAGTATATGACCTGAGAAATGAAGAAGTAGCTGTTTAAAATGTCTCACATCTAGAACATACATTACTTATACATCAATGATATGTGAATAATGCAAAGTCATGCGTACCCCTTGGCTCTGTCGGACAGTGGTATTCCCATTTTCATCTATGTCTGGATCTTTATCATCTCGAGTGGGCTCAGAGCTCTGCTAGGACAGTGCGTGAGGGAATAATATTACTGTGCAACTGGTGTGTCTGGTTGCTGTGGGATTAGTGCGAGTTCACATTGCAGTAGTATCCACAGTGTCAACACTGCATTGAACAATTACCTTCTGCAAGGCAACAGCAAACTATAAATAGCGTGTAAACTGATATGCACGCTATGACATCATGTTTATATGCCGTTATGATACTAAATGCCATACATCAAAATGCATTCAGGGAAATTAATATAGTTTAAAAAGCTGATAACACAAGAAAATCAGCTTCTTTCTTTTTTTGTATATGTTTCCTACTAACCTTTATAATTCCCTTTCCTATTTTGTTCATATGTTATTTACTGTTGACACTATGCAAATAAAACACTACTTTCACTTCAGTGAAATCATTTGGGTCATGATCTGTGCAACATTAGCTAATTATTATTTACAGTAATTCAACTTAAATACTACGAAACTGTTACTTTCAATTGATCAAATGTGTCCGCTATGACATATCCGTCCTCTTTGCACATCAATTGACAAAATCTTTTTGAATGTACATATCGTTTGAGCTGATGTGAGAAGTCATAGGGTTGTGCTGGTAATAAAGGGGTGAAGCTGGGAAAGCGAACTGAAGTGAAGTTATGCAAAGACAAAGAGAACCAGAAAAGTACGAGTGGTGGAAAGTAACATGCATAGTGGCCAGACTGACCTCGAGTGAACCAAGTCTGCAAAAACAAGATGTGTCCTCAACGTGACTTTTAACTGCTCTCTCAATTGTCAATCATTTAAGAGATATTTGTTCTGTTGAATTTTTATGAAGACGTGTAATTAAAGAAAGACACAAGACGATTGAATTGCCTGTAGAAAACAGTGCCGAGGTCTTTTTATTGACAAGAGATGGTTAAATCAGTGGCAAAACACATCGTGGTCTGGTCCGGGCGCACAAAAGACACCGCATCTTTTCAGAAGCTTCATTTTATGCAGACTTAATCCTGAAATATATTTAAGCTTAGATATCCAGTTGAATCAAAACAGGGAAGGAAACCGAGGCGAAAAGGAAAAAGGAGCTTTTTGGAGGCAGTTGTTACAGGTTTCTCTTAAGACAAAGCAGGGGTGCAGAAGTTGTGGAGCGGGTTAAGACGCAGCCATCGCTTGTGTCAGACAGCGGGCAGAGGCAGGCGGTTAGGTCGGTAGCCGCGCGGCGGTGGATAATTTACCTTTTTCTCTTTGAGGGGCAATAAGGCCCCCGGTCTTAGTTCTCTGATTTGCGGTTCAATTCGAGAGGTTGGTTCTACCAAATTTTTCACCCCTACGTCCTTAACCGTGCACTTCTGGAAAACCTGAAGAGTGGAGAAAGGTGAAGGGGAAATGGGAACAAGGATTTTGAGGAGGAGGAGGACGTTTGAGTATCGTCGCCTTTGTCGGCTGTAGAACCCGACAGGTGACAAAGAGTTGACTCTTGCTGCAGCTTTGAGTGCTCGTCCTCTGCCACCACAAAAAAAACAGCCAGCATGGGAAGAAGTGACAGACCCACTCCCGCAATGCAGAAACCAACCAAATCCAGCAGGTGTTGTATGTGTGCGCGTGTACATATGCATCTAACCTGGAGCTCTGCCATGATCTTGTCGCCTTCGTCCTCCTCTTCCCTGGTAGCGAGAGGAGTGACCGGGGGAGGGGTGGCTGGCTTGGGCTTGGTCTCTGGACGAACCGTGTTGGGCTTTGGTTGGGGACTCGGCGGTGGAGTGTCCTCTTCACACTCCTGTTGGAATTCATGCAATCGTCATGCTATGCTAAGTTAAGCCAATCACCTCTTGGCTCTGGCTCCTTAGTGGTAATTAGTGGTCTCAATCTACTCATTTGGCTAATGTGAAAACACAGCAACCACAAAACCGTTTGGCTTTTCATTCATTCTGAATGATTGAATGCATTGTACTTTTTGCAAACTGTCCTCAAGTATGTACAAAAATGGGGGAAGCTCACCTTCTACTACACAGTATCTTAAAATAACAAATATTCTTAACCACAAAGTTAAATAAAGCAAACAGACAGCCACCGATGACACCGACCTGAGCCGAGACGGACTCTCTCCTGCTAGTAAAGACCACTTCGCCGGAGCGCGTCGTGGTCATGCCGGAGCTGGAGCTGGAGAAAGTCTTCCTGGGAGGAGGTGGTGGCGGTGGGGACTTGCCGGACTTTTCAGACCCCTGCTTAGCGAAGCTCTCAGTCGGCTTTGTGGCGACGGTCTTGGAAGGTTTAGCTGGTTTCTCCATCACGGGCTTTGGGAGTTTCTCAGGCCCCTTCTGGCCCGGCTTGTCGGAGTGAGGCTCAGACTGGGGCTCTTCATGTCGTGAAAAACAAGAGAGGGGAAATTCTATAAGGGGACATACTTAGTTCGCACATCAATACAATGTAAAGCGGTGTGGAGGCCATGCTGGTGTCTTAAAGTTGGTAGATGTGCACCTGTCAGTGACTCCACAAGGCTGTGTGTGTCTGCTCGTTCCGTAGTGGCGTCAGGGATCAGGGTTGGATTCTCTTCAACCTCTAGACTGGGAATGCCCTTCATCATGTTGGCCTGGGCTTCCTGCAGGATCTTCTCAAACTCCTTTCCATCATAGTGACCCATGTTCTGCCTCCTCTCTTCCCACTCCATTTCTGCTGCCTGCAAGGTGAACATTGAAACAAAAAGCGGGGGGAGAGTTCCTTAAAAGTCCTCGTTAATTGCAGGTGCTTTAAAAGCCGTAACCAAGTTGACATTTACAAGATCACCAGCTTCACAACGTTGGAAACATCTAAATCCAGAGTAAATGTGTTTTAAAAGGTTTAATAAGGTGACTGAATCTACCTTTATGGACATGGCTCTGTCTTTGCTCTTCTCCCGGCTGGTCTGCAGCTCTTCTATAACGAGACCCTGGGGGGCGGGGCCATTGCCGTTATTCACCGGGTTGCCTTGTGTCTTCTTATGATGGGCCGGGCTCGGTGGATCCGAGGCTCCCCCTCCCCTGGCCAGGTCTTGACTCTTGCTCGGGGTGGGGCTGGGGGTGAGCGGTGGACTGGGCTGAGCCGTCAGGGCCGCAGACTGCTGGGACTGCCGTATGTGGACCGGGGAACTCTGCACGTGGTGGATGACCACCGGGGAGGAAGGCATCACCTCTGATTTGATGGTGGAGCTCTGGGGCTCCAGCGGGCCGGGTGAGGAGCTGGGCCGGGCCGGCGGTGTGGGAGCTTCTGCTGCGGCTGGAGAGCTGTTGTCCACTGGTCCTTTCTGAGGGCCCTCAGGAGCACATCTGCACAGAGAAGAGAAACAGTGTATGATATATATATATATATATATATATATATAAAAAAGAGAAATCGAGAAAATACTGAGCTTCGAATGTTTTGCTTTTAAAACACAGGGTCACTCAGAAATTCTATTAATATTTACAGAACAAAATTCATATTCATCGCCAACGTGGTTTGGCGACAGTTTTTGGTAAAATACAAGAGATTCCTGAAGGCAGACTGAGAGAGAACCTGGTGTCTGTGACATATTAAAATGGAAATGAGGGTCTGCAGTCCTCACCACATTAATTCACTTTCAGCGGTTCAGTGGAGGTGATGGAGTGCATCAAGGTGGACGCTACATTCCGCTGTCTACAGCGAATGAACCCCTTAGATGAGAGCATAATCAAAGGGTACAATCTGTCACATATTCCCTCTCGGCCACTTATACTCCAGCGCCTCTCCGCCTGATCTCTCCTCCATCTCCACTGAAGCTTTTTTCTTTTTTTTTTTACTCCGTCTACCTTCTCAGACCGTTGAGTGTGTCAGTCAGGCTCTTGACCCTTTTCAGCATGCTGTCCAGTTTATGAGGCTCCTCTTTTAAAAACTTGACTGCTTCCACTTCCACCCTGAGCACGGACCGCATTTTTGTTTGTAGAGCCGGGAACTCTCCTGAGGAAACACAAGAGAAACATTGTGAGTTATGGAAACATTTGACTAGTAGTAGGTATTTAGGAATACCTTTATTGGAAAATTAAATAATAGCAGAGCCTCTGAGGTAATAATAAACTTTTTGTATTACACAAGAGTAAGTCTGAAAAGGGAAAAACATCCATTTTATCAGCAGTGAACGGAGCAAATAACAGCACGCAGCTGATTATACAGCAGAATGTGATACTGTTCTCCAAAAGTGCAATCCATAAGTTTCCATTGCGTCTTTCCATACCTTTGACGTCTCATTGATGTATAACGATAATGTAAAAATGGCCCAAAACAATATTTTCATCATATTTCCCCACAACATTGTGCCCACGTAATGAGAATATTCTCTGTTGTCTTACCTTTGAGCCCTGCCAGCGATTCTCCCACCTTTCTCAGCGTCACCGCTCCCTCCTCCACGTCCTTCAGAGTCACTGCTCTTTGTGTCGCTGCCAAGTCTTTCTGCAGGGAGCCGACATACTGCTCCAGCTCACTGGAGAGGGACACAATGGCACATACAAAAAAAAAAACACTGAGAAAAACAGAAACTCCCGATACAATATTTTAATGTATATATGTAATTCCACTTTTTTTATTCACTTTCACTTTTCCCTCCTGTTAATATTTGATATTCTTTGTCAACACCAGAGGGCAGGGCACGGTCACTTATCTCATGTATTACTCATGGCGTAAGAGAGCTGACTTTGGGTCCATAAGATAATAAGAAATTAGAACATATGCAACGATAAACATTTCCAGCAACCGCTTCCTTTTCCCGTCTCCGTTGGATTGCTTCCCAAAACCACAAGTGTTTACACACTGAACGAGGGCTTATTTGTCCAAGACCACTTCCTCACATAGAAAACACTGCACGTTGCTTCACAACAAGCCCGGTGCTTGAGAAAAAAAAATGGATACTGTGCAGGGAAATGTGATGAAAGATAACATTGTGTGCAGGGTTGGATTGCATGAGAGACTAAAATGATGTTTCATTGTAGCTCTGACAAAACACTCTTTCATAGAATTCCCCTGCAGGGAGTGGGAAAGGCAATACAGTGTGTTTAAATGCCCTGCTATGCCAAGGCCTGCTGGTAATGGGAATGATGATGATGGAAAATACAAAAACAAAAGAAAAGAAAAACTAATTTATTTTTAGTGAGCTTTCCACGGACAAAAACAGATAATGAACCTTTCTGAGCGTGAGTTCAGGAGGCAGCCAGAAGCTGTGATGAAGGCTCTAAATCAACACTGTGTCTGAAGCTGTGAGCTACTTAGATAAATGCTCTTCATTTTAGCCAGTGGGAGCCGTGTCACCATCAGCATTACTGTCACCAATGACAAACCCTCTTATTTAAATCGCATTTCTTTGCTTGCTTTTCAAGTATTACTGTCATGGGTTACTGACAAACTAGCATAAGTTTGATCTTTTTAAGTACTGACCTCTGTTGAGTAATAAAATGTTACAAAATGTGCCTCTAGGTCATGATAGATTCAGTTCTTCTCTTCGGGTCGCTGTTTTTCACATCACACCCTCTAACTGAAGCCAAGCAAACCTAATTACCAAGCATTATTTAAAGCTCTGTTCTGCTGACTCACACTCGGCTGAATACAAAGGGCACCAGGGAGCCTTCTTCACTGGCTGTTTACTTCTCGGCCGCCATTGTATTTATCGGAGCACGTGTTCACTACCGTCTAGCAAGAAAACACTGGTTGACCTTGCGTGCAAACATCCAAATAAAAAAAAAAAAAAGATTCAATTGCTGCTCCCTGTTGGCAAGATGAAGCAAGCAAATTCAAGTGAGGGGGCAGGGAAGTTCCTCCGCAGTTGGGTCCATTGTTCTGTCTCAGGCACCGGTTGCCTGTATAAACCTGTGAGCTGCAACGGGAGGGCGTTGGCTTGGGTTTAGGAGTACAACAGCACGGGTAAGCTGGCACAACTAATTGTAATAGGGGATTTCCTATGAGTAAAAACACGGGAGTGTGCGCATACTCATCGTCAATATTTAAAACAATAAACATTCCTCAATTAATGCGAACAACCACGCGTGTCCGCTGTTTGACTATTTAAAGCACGCAACCTGTCGTGTAAGTGAATCAGCGCATTCTGAGCAGCCTCACCCGAGCTGCGTGAGGACACGCTCCTCCAGAACCAAGTACTTGTGCCGGTCCTCTTCCACCAACGCTCTCTGCCTCTGCACAGGGTCCTCCAGGCCTCGCATGGCCTCCATGAGCTTGACACTGATTTCCTGCTCCGCCCGCTTGAGCTGGACTCGTAGTGCCTCTTGGTTCTGGACCTTGAGGGACGCACAGACAGTCGGAACAGAGATTATTTGGGGAAGCTGAACCGGCAGAGCAACATACGGAGCCGTGGTAGAGAACTAAGGGGTCTCACCTGCTGCTGTCTCATCTGATGCAGTTGCACCCTGAGGTCAGAAACATTCCTCCTGAACTGCAGGAGGTTGACTTTGAGAGGAACTGGACCCGTGGCCGGTGGAGCTGTGCTGCTCTTGGCAGCCAAGACTGGGGAGCCACCTGTGTTTGTGTGGAAGACAAGTTGAAGCTCGTTACTTAAAAAAAAAGAAAAGGAAAAAGAAAGCGCCCTTGTGTGACTGTCTTGTGATGCTTTGCTGTAAATAATATATGACATAAGTTGATTACATTTATGGGACTATTTGCATTGCCCGCTAATTACGCAGATAAGAAAACGTAAAGCGGTCATACTGGCTGCACTTCTGAAATGTCGGTCAGCTGGTTTTGACATTTCCTTCGTCACTGTGGGTGGATAAGAGGTTGAAACCATGGAAACCAATGGAAGTCATGTTTGTGGTTGGGGTGAGCGTCCCGTAATCGCTAACAATAGTAATTATTATTATTATGTTGGTAGCACGTCAAACATCAGCTAAGAAATACAACAAATACATATTTCCTTGAAGTGGATTGAATTGAAACCTTAAATAATAATGGCTGGTTTAAATTACGTTGAACAATGATGTGAGCACCTTCATTGGCTTTGAGGTCAAAATCCCCATTATTAATACGCCAAAGTGCGGGCGGTTGAAACGATGTGCCGGGCGAGGTAACAGTTAAAAGGTAAATGACAAAACATTAGTTTTGGAATGTGGAAGAACCCGGCCCTTTCACCTCAGAAACACGAGGTCCATTAAAGTAAAGTAGTTTCCCCACCTGTGGTTACACAACAGGCCGGGCAATGTTCACAGTGCACGCTAAGCTCCCTCGACGCTCAACTCGGCCGGTAGAAGAACTCTCTTTTGTCTCGGTAATCCCAGAACTCTATTCACAACATGTTTCTCACACACACACACTGCCTGACAGCCGCCTACACCTGAAGTGCAGGTTACAGAGTACACTGCTGGTCGCGCTGTGGCCTTTGGGGACAAAGTGTCCATCAAGGCTTTGTTGTGACAACGAAGAAGTGTTTGAGCAAAAAAAAAAAAAAAAAAGAAAAAGAAAGGAAAGTGGCGCTGGATTTCTTGTGTTTGACGTGAAGCGAACCCGGCGGGATTAAAATCCCACTCGGTTTCCTCTCTGATCCTTTGGGGAATCGCTCGATCACAGCGCGACGAGCAAATCTCTCCTAAAGCCACATGCGAAATGTGTCACGAGACATGAGATCAGCTCTCGGGACGCATGAATGGCGTTGTGGTTTTTTTTTTCTCGCAATCCCACTGGTGAGGTTGCGGATTTCTTTTTTTTTATCGAGCCGAGACGGAGAGGAGACTGCATTTGCTCTCGCTTCTTATCTACGATTAAATTGGATGTCCCGAACGGAGTAAAAGGTTGTAAAGGAAATACGAACCCACGCAAAGACGGCAGGCTTTGTTTTCCCTCAATCCAGCACAGCTCATGGCAGATCGTTGACTGACACTGATGTGTAGGCTTTTGTGCACAACAATATGGAGCTAAAACTCTTTAGAGGAAAGAAATCGAATGAAATTGATCAGAATTACCAACCTGAGCTGTGTGCACTGTGAGCTGGAGATGACGTCTTCGGTGGTCTCTCACTACAGCCAGAAAACAAAAAGACATCATGAGAGCAGGATGTGGGATTTTCTAAAGAACAGCATTTAGGGGTTTTGTATTAGTAAGAACAACACAAAACAACAAAGTATGACGGTGAAATACTGACAAACCAGAGGGTTAAAATGATGTTAATGATGTTAACAGGCTTCATCAAAGTGAATAAAAATAAAAAACATCCACTTGCAGTCACAGACCTTTTAGACTCACTGACAAGCAAACATTAACACAAAGTCCACCAAGAAGAGTAAAATGCAAAGAGGTGAAATGCAGCCAGATGAACCTGACATAGTGGCCGTTTATCGAGAGAGCAGATGACTTTAATATCAGATTCACAGTCAAACCTATTTCCTCCTCACCAGATGCTATTCAGGCCGTTCGGCCTTTTGCAGAGAGAACCCTTTATCTTTCCTGCTCTGGCTGGATGGGCAGGCTTTTCATTTGAAACTCCATCCCCCCCCCCCCCCGATGCCTCACTTGTTCCTATGCTGTGATTGCTTACCTTAGTAGCTCCTTGGTGCCACTAGTGTTTGGCTCCTTTAAAAGTGCATGCTGAACAAGACCAGTCAAGCTGGCAATCTGTTGCTCCATAGCCTTCATTCGCACTCTGCAGAAACATCAGAAAATTCTACTTTCAACACGGAGGCCTACTGGGTGTCACAGGTGCCGCGGGAGCAAGTATTAGCTCACAATCAAAACGGGACGTTTTTCTGAATTAGAACAGTATTTTCATTCCCTGTCGAATAAACAACACGTACGACTCGAGACAAGAAAAGAACCACGAGCTTGTTGTTTTTTTGTGTGTGTGTCAACAAGTGGTCGCCACTCAGAAGGGAATGAAAGGACCATTGGAGAATTACACCCATTGGAAAGTCAAACATCAGAGGGAATTCAGGACCTCAAACCAAAGATTGCTCGGTAAACTGAGAGGTCGGAAAAGAGAATAACCATTGTTATGGGATGCCATCATTTATCTTGAGGACGGATGTGGGGCCAGATGAGGACAAACAGGAGACTGAGTTCTTTCAGCAGTGCTACGGATAATGGACAGATGCAAGGACTACGTGAACACAGCAACGCCCGACCTCACCGTCATATAGCAGTAAATTCAATGACGGCGATAGAGCCCGATAGTGTCTGGACTATGTTTATTTTAAAGGTTAAGCGCCATACTTTCCCATTCAAATTCCTACAGACTTTCCCTGATTCCCAGGGCATTTCTAATGGGGGCTTTGGACTTCCCAGGTGGTCCAGTACTTCTAATACTTATACTTACACTACTTATTCAACCTGGTCAATGTTTTTTCTGGTACGCACATGGAAAGCACGTTTGGCAAAGGGGATAAGCATCCCCCCCTTTTCAATGTTTATGTGCTCTCAGTCAGAGTGGATAAACCTAATCCAGGTACCAAAATATCTGCTGGATAATCCAGACTGAATAGAGTCTACGGAGGGTTTGTTGTTAGAACAATAGTCCCAGAGTAACAGAAAAATATACGCAGGATTTGTGCGGTCTCTAGCTACACAAGTTTATTTAATAATCCACACGGTTGGCTCCAAAGTCTGGGAGAAGTCAGTCAAGCAAACTGGTTGTATACACAAACCAAACGCATAATCACGTGCATTAGTCTGCTGTTCTGAATGCGCAGCTCACGACGCCCAAGGCGGTGCCAAGGGGGTTATATTTTATACCTTGACTCGGTCACGGGTGTTAGAACAGGCAGAGCAAGGGATTGAAAATCAGCCGCTCATGGTTAGGGTGGAACTGGGATGCCGTTAGTTTATCATCCAATGCAATGTCTTAATCGTAGCTTTAACAAGCTCACCGGCCCCCGCGTCGCTTACCGGGTCTGATGCTCACTGGCAACAGCAATGGGCCCCTGGAGGTCCGGAACTACAGGTGATCCCATGTTGTTCCGGGGCTTGGTGCCCGCCACTTCCTCCTTCCGGAATGACTGCCGCACGGGTGAGCTTCTCTCCATGGGAACGCCGTGAGGCGGTGCAGCGTGAGGTGGCAAGCCGTGAGGGGGCCCGCCGTGAGGGGGCCCGCCGTGAGGGGGCAAGACGTGAGGAGGCATACCGTGAGGAGGCACGCCATGAGGGGGCATACCGTGAGGAGGCACGCCATGAGGGGGCATACCGTGAGGAGGCACGCCATGAGGAGGCATACCGTGAAGAGGTCCGCCATAAGGAGGCCCGCCATGAGGAGGCCCGCCGTGGATATCAATCATCCGTACCTCAGCCATCCGGTGAGGGGATGGGGGAGGAGTCTTTGAGCCCAAAGTAGGCAGCTGGCTGTTCCTGGACTTCTGGCGGTACAGAGAGGGGTGATCCATAGTGTCCGTTGGGCTCGGCCCGCCGTAAGAGCTTGTGGAGCGGATGGAGGCGCGGTGAAATCCCCCCATGGCGTGATCTGTGCCATCAATCCCAGGGTTGGGTTGTGGTCCGTGGGCGGCAGCCATGTTCATCCTTCCATCTTGGAGCAAGTACGGGTCTGCGTACAAGCTCTCGTTTCCCCTCGGTAGACTCTGGCTTTTGCCGCCCCTGTCCTCATCCGGCTTGACATCCCGTCTCTCCAGGATGGCGCTGGGACACGGTGAGCTGGAGCGGGCCGGAGCGTTGGCGCTGGACAGCCGGTCCCTTGGGATAGTGCCGTTGCCAGGTATAGAGCCCTGCCGCGGGCCGAATGGGATTCTGGAGGGGGACGGGGGCATGGAGTGGGGAGATGGTGGAAGGGCTCCCTGCATGGGGTGGTGTGACGGGGGACCCACGGGGGGCTGCCGCAGAGGGGGCGGGCCGTCCCGGACGGCATGCATCGTTTCGCTGTGCATCTGCAAAAAGTACAAAAGCACATAGAGATCTTCTTAAACACGTGTAAACATACCAACGGGTTATTGCCGATTTTGCTTTATGGCTTCAGTCACTGTTTATTTTATATATATCCTTTATTATTGGACTAAAGTGCCAGCGAAACAAAAACGTCCATCCAACCCAATTTACCAAGAAAATAGACTATTCTAAGATGTAGTACAGCATTTCGCTGAAAGTCCTGGGTAAACAGGTCTGTTCTTTTACTGTCGACTAATCCGATTGCCAGCGGTGATAAGAGTGAGGCTTTCCTAATAAGAGGTTGCATAATAACCTCCCAGGCAGTTGGTTCATTTTCAAGCAGATCTGTCAAGTTAAATATAAACTAAGAGCCAATCAGGGCAGAGAAGTCCACCGATCTGCATCAAATGCACTCTCAAGAATACAACGTGTGGATATGTGAGCGGATGGGTTTGATAACACTGAGCTGAGCAGCATCTCATGCACGACTAAATCCCATTCAGTCTTACTTCCTGTCCTACCGTCTACTGTCAAACAGACAAGCAATTGTTCTTTCAACTTATGACTCATGGGTTACGATTGCATAAGAGGACGAGTGAAAACGGAATGCAACTAGAGTTTTGGCCCAATTCAGTGTTTCCTTATTTTTTTTGTCAGCGCTTATCCAGATTATTACAGCAATAGGGAACAATATGGTGGGTGTGTTGCGTGTGTGTGTGTGTGTGTATGTGAAATAAGTATGTGTTCAAACAGGAAAACGAGCACTGCTGATGGGGTATAATAGCAAAGGGTTCAGGCTTGGCTGTGATAACAAAGGACAAAAAAAAAGAAACATGCTGGCAGTAAAAGCTCACAGCTAAATATTGCAGCAACAAGTAGGACCAAGCGAAAAAATGGAAAATTGTAAGAAAGCAGCACATTATCAAAACCTAATGACTTTTACTACCCCAGGTGCCACAAAAATAAAAATAAAAGTTGCCCTCTTGTGCAGGAATTTAGGAGCCCTAAATAACGCCTTTGACTGCGTTGCCAACAATTTTAGCCAAAAATGCATAACTTGTTAATCCCAAACAGATGTTACACCTTGGGAAGACTCACCCGCCCTAAAATACACTTTCTCTGCGAAACATGCCTACATTTTTTTGCTTTGAGACAAAACAGAGGCGTAAACGCTTGAAAAACAAACGCAAAGTCGTGTTGAGTAACATTTGGTTTGAGTTTGACTTCACTCGGCGCTCAAAACTTCCAATAATGAGGGCAGCACGTCTGGTCGCGCACGCAAGTCCCCTCGATGGAGATGATTCGCAAACTGCAGAGCCTGCAGAAAGTGTGTCAACAATTTAAATAGCGGGGCTCTCTGGCTGCACGAGCTGTGCCGATGTGTGCACGATAGTGTTGGAAAGAAGATAATAGTGAGTAAAAACATGAGAAACGTTCAACTTTAAGTTCTGAATAAATACCAACAGCAGGTTGTTTGCTAGGAGATCCGATCAGAGGTTAGAGGCCAACAACTGACCCTCTGTTTGAAACAATATCTCCTCCTGCGATGTGTACATGATATCCCTTCTACCATTATTGACTATTCTATGACTATGAATCCACTGCTTTTGGTACAATCTCCACATGAGATCAATATCAATTGGCCGCCATTTCATTCAATAAAAAGTAACAAAAGAGAGGCTGCAATGCGTGAAAATACCTCCTCAGTCTGCCGCCTATTCTCCATGTCGTATAATGATCGGTTTCATGTGTAGGCATACGTCTGTCTACCTTAAATCGGTTACTGACGGATGAGAATTCATAAGCAGGGGCAGCTTTATTTGGCCAGAAAGCTTCAAACAATAACATAGCTAACTGCAGATGCTGCTTGAAATCTGATCCGAAGCCGGCATTCCTGCGTGCAAAGCGCACTCACCCGCCAGAAAAGGTGTTTGAATAACAAACAGCTCATTCGGTTGCAGTAGTCGTAGTATTGGCCCTTTTGCTTTGAGCGCCAGGGTTTTTGTTACATTATTAAAAGCAAATTCTTAATCTTTTTCCCGGCTTCACAGAAGCCGAGAATAGAGACGACGCTTAGAAAAAGGGAAATACGTCTCCGTTTGTGTCAGTGTTAGAAATGGCTGACATGTGCAGCCGGAGGATAGCGATACCAAGTTTTGGAGTAATGCAACAAATGTCATCTAAATAATTTCTGTGAAAGGTCCTGTCTCGTGTCATTTCGTCAGCTCGGCCTCCACACCCACAGCAAGGTTTTGTATCTTTGTGTCAACTGCTGCTTGGTTAAACAATGACAGAACTATTCATCACAGCGATCTTCTCCTGCCGAGTGTTTGCACTGTAAAGCCGCCTTCTTTCTTTCGCTTGAAGCACTTCAGTTCACCCCGCGTTACGTTTCAATCCTGCGGATTCAGAAAGTGTCACAGATATTAAATCTGCACTTCTGTAGAAAGTATAAAAAACAAAAGCGATGGCTAAAGAATGTGCAAAGCTGCCTCACGCGATTCATGTTCTCGGTTCTTCTACTGCGGCCTGCTTGCAATGTTCCCTTCTTTAAACTATTTCATTTCCATTTCTTTTGTATCTTTTTTTTGCCTTTTACTCAATTCTCCTTGAAGGACCTCTTTATAGAGAAGCAACTCGCCTGCAGCAGTAGAGAGAAAAAAACAACAACTCTGCAGCACCTCAATTTCTGAATTTAGACCTTTTAAACCATCATCATTTATTTAAATGTCATCAATTTCACTTCAAACTTATGTGACACATATCGCATGTGAAAATCGAATCATAACCACGGTTAATATAGTTTTTGCAGTATCACAATAGCACTGCATCCTCAGTATAAAGAGGAGCAGCGGCTTAGATGAAGGGTCAGGTGGATTAGAGAGGAGGATTTGAGGAGGAACATTTGGGAAAGGGCTCTTTGGGGCTTTAGTTTTGTTACATCAGCGGGGGAAAAAAAACAAAAAAAAAACATGCTGGAATCGGAACAAGAGAAAGAGATTAGAGCTGATATTGGGGGACGAGTGAACAAGAAAGGTAGCCGAGAGATTTGAGTTAAATTGCTCCTTAAGCAAGCTGCACCAGAGCGTGCAGGCGAGGCCCAATCGCGGGCCCCCGCCAGAACAATACGAGACCCCCCTCTAAACAGATTAACGAGAGGCAGGGGGACATTCCTTCCCTTAACTGCAAACAGGACGTGACAATGAGAAGAACTGGAGGCCGGGCCCCACTCTTCTATCTGCAACAAAGTCTGGTCGTCTCCTGCTGTTCGCGAAGATCGCTTTCGCCGGCCGTGTGTCGCTCAGGTACTCACCCTGGCATCGCCATTGGCGGGTCTCGGCCCGTGGCTGAAGGCCTGCGCCGGGTCTTTGTGGTAGACCTTCAGGCAGGAGTGATCCGCTATGTTCCTGTAGGGGGAAGAGGTGTCCCGCGGTAAATAGGCAGCCCAGTAATCGCCGTCAGACAGCGGGCGATCCTCCCGCAGTCTGGATCTCAGCCTCGCCCTCAGCCCTGCCAAGGGCACGTACCCGGACAAAGGCTGCGACATTTCCTCTAAAATCTCTAGAGACATCTATTAACACTGCGTTAAAACGCGGCCCGGCTGTACGAACAGGGAGCCGTGCGCTCGCTCTACTGCTGGTCTCACTCTCACTACGCTGTTGTACCCTGGACGCTTGAACCAAGCCTTAAGAATCACAAGACACTTTATTACAGCCCTGATAAAGAATGAGTCATACTGTACACACACACACACACACACACACACACAAACACTAGGGCAGGACGTCCGGAAAATAAAGTGGAAGAGGCTGATCTTTTCAGGAGTAATATATTTAAAAGAAAAAATTAACTTGCAAAGTTACGTTGGCGAATGCAAAACCAGAAAGAATGAATGAATGAATCACTACACACTTTTGTTTTGAAAACTGCTTTGTGAAAAGCATAGAAATACCTCAAAAACAGGAATAAAATCTTCTTATAGAAGTCATTTTAGTGAAGAGAGGACAACAGGCAGGAATATCCTCCAAGTTTCTTAAGAGAGCTCTTCAGTTTGTTTGGGTGCAGAACATCTGTGACATATTGCCAAAGGGCTTCATGTCCAAATGCATTTCTTTCTACCAAGTTTTAACGTGTTGGAAAGAGGAGGCAAGAAACCTTCCTGGCCAGGGACACGTCCTGCGCAGGGGAAGTTTGGACAGGAAGCTCTCAGGCAGGGAAAAGGAAAGGACATGTAGAGGAAGACTATTCAAAATTCTTGGGTGTCCTCTTTAACGTTAACATAAACCGACAAAACACACTACAAGCGCTCCAATACTATTCGGCCTTCACGTTCAATGGCCTTCACCTGACATCCGCCAGCTCGTAGTAAATGTTCCTCATGTCGTCTTTGACGTAGACGGCGACGCTGGGCGACTCCAGCATCTTCATGGTGAGCTGCTGCGGGAAGGCACTAACGAACAGGGCCCTGATCGTGTCCATGCTGGTGATCTCGTTCGGCATGCGGATCTGTTTGGTCTCGTCCCCGTACAGCAGGTACAGCACACCTGCAGGCGGAGAGCAAGGCCGTCGGTTGGTTAGCCTGAGCGCTGCCCGGGGGAACTCGGCACAAAGCCGCTCCCTCGAATGCATCATCCTATAACAAATCCTAAACATCGTAAGCAGTGACTAAGGGTTTGGCATCGAAGGCAGTTAGACGGCGGATGCTTATTACAGTTTAAAAGGTTTTTTAAGACGATGACCATGTCTGTTTATAGGTATCGACTTAGTAACTGAAATTAGAGATTGATTTCTAAGAATATAGGCCACAAACGTTTGTCAAAATCGGTATTTTTGGGAAACTTTTTACGCGTTGATAACGGAACACACAATGCCTTTCCTGACCTGTGAAAACACAGCCGGCTGCTTCTGATGATGGCCGCTGAGTGCAGATGCAAACCCCCAAAGATCTCTTAACACATTTTCCATTGGTGCTCCTTTGATACCATCAAGCCCTTGCAGCCCAAGCTCAGGGTGGAAAAGTGCACGTTGTGCATCAAAAAGACTAAAGCCTGAACCTCGGAGCTCTGGGTAGGCCTCTGTACTGTGCTTTGCCAAAATAGAGGTATTGACATGCCCATTTTGCACTTGTATAAACAACATCAGGGAACAGAAGATGACAGTTCTGTTCGGAGTCGTTGCTCTAAGCTGCATGGCACAGATCTGAATTGATCCCATCTTGCAACAACGGAACGTTAGTGGAAAAGAACAAAGGAGTTTGACGTGTTTTTTTTGTCTTACTTCATGAGAATCTGAGATTCACCCAAATCCGTCAGTTCAAAGTCACTTTCACATTTGCTGGATTGAAGAAAAAGAGGAATGGTTTTACTTGGTGTAACCCCATAAAAGGAAAGGAGGCAGTAAAAGCTACCAGATGTTGGGGAAATATTATACAAGACCCTACATGCTCCACGAGACAGGGTGAGACAGAGAGAGGGCAAATCCAGGGAATAAAAAATGCTGAGTCTATTATTGCTCTTTCTGGTCTGTCTGGGTTTCTGGGTAGTAAGAACTTAACAAAGTGTCAATTTGCAAAATAACTTCCCCTGAGAGCGGCCATTTTAACAGTCAGCTAGTTTGCATCCAGATGTTGGAAATTAAAGCGAACGAGTTTGATAACAAAGCGCCATTGATCAAACTTGCGTTGTGAAGTTTTAACTTCTTAAATCCACAAGTTTTAATTGCAGCAGAAATGTCGAATAGCTGCGTTCTAGCGCAGAGTCGCGTTACTTCGCCGAGCGCCTGGTTTCACTCAGGATCGTAGGCAAGCGGCCAGTGGGTTTCCAGACCAAATGGGCAAAGCTCCGCACACTCCCTCAACTTTGAGAACGTTCCGTATTCCAGTGGGACACAACATCTTAAAAATAAGCCCGATCCTGAAAACAACACTACGTGCTGCCCGATATCATCAAAAACACAAAAGCAGAAAAAAAGCAATATTAGAACCACTGAATGAATAAATACTACACGCTTGAAGCCAAACGCTGGGTGCAATCGGATACTCACATCAGGGGGGTTTAAGGATCTCCTGTTTTCTGTTAGGTCTTATGATGCTCTGGAAAAGCCCCCGCTGTAACTACTACCGTACTAGATGAGGATACTAAAGCTCCACATGTCCGTTGGGACCCAGAACAGGTTGTGCCTGCGTGTGTTTGTGCGTGAGAGGCTGTGGGAGGGACACTGTACCCCCCCCCCTTTTCTCTCCTCCCCCTTTACCACACCATAACCCCCCACTGTCATGATGGCCTGTCCTGGTGGTTTTTTAGAGGGAAAAAACAGGCATGTGTGTATTTTTGTGTGTGTGTGTGTGTGTGTGTGTGTGTGTGTGTGTGTGTGTGTGTGTGTGTGTGTGTGTGTGTTCAAGCCGGTCCGTTGAAGGTTTTTTTTTTGTTGTGCATCTTCTCATGCAGAGCGAGAGGCGCGACGGGCTAAAAAAGCGTGGAAAAGTGGCACCCTATGGTTTCATTCACTTTCCCTTTGGTCGAACGGCGCGCCTTTCACGCGCGTTCCTATTATCCAGCGGCGGATGCAGAGCTGAGCTACCTTTTATTTGAAGAATATTCTCCTGGAAAAAAAAAACACACACACACACACTCTACACTAAACTTTTTTGGGGAACTTCTCAAAACTCCTTCCACAACTTTCTCGCCTTAATGCAGCAACCTCATTCTGCACAACACAGACGACACATTTCTAATCCTGTCAGGGACATGATGGAATTTTTGGATGGATTCACTGCAGAGGGAATGGCTTCTAATCACAGCGGCGCTATGAGCTGAGGTGAAGAGAGGAAGGAGAGAAAGCTCACGGTGAGCTCATGGTGTGGTTAAAAGTTATTTAAGAGGCTTCTTAAGTTGTGCTGCAAGAGCTGCAAAAAGTAGGTATTAAGAATTACTTCAATTTACCCGAAGTCCATCAAGGACTGAGCCTTTAATATCAATAGTGGCAGTCTGGGTGGGAGGGGGGGGGGCAGAAGTGAAAGAAAAGCCTGATCCAGTTTTCCCAAGTGACTGACTCGTCAAACCAGAAGCCTCGTAGAAGCCGTACCCAGCGAGCGGTCCTTGGTCTGGTTGGTCGATCGCACCACGGGCAGGCTGGCACGGATCCGGCTGCCGCGGGTGAAGGCTGTGGGTGAGTCGGCCTCGGACATGGCGTCCAGCGAATCCAGGGAGGCCAGGGACAGGTGGTCAACCTGGTCGCCGATGCTGGAATGTGGGCCGTGCTTTGGGCTTCTGCTCTGGAGGGGGAGGGACATGGAAACACGATACGGTGAGGGTTAGACCGGGGACACTCGGCACACAAAATGAGACATGCATTAGGTTTTTCTTCACGAAAGAACAGAAAAAAAAGCATTGTCATTTTCTAATACTTTTTTAGATATGATGCATTTCAGGGTTTTATCAATGTAACTAAACTAAGTAAACCACACAAGCGCAAAAGGGACACGTAAATACTGTATTTCACAGATACATGCTCACTAATCTAAGCCATTTCATTACTATCACACAAGCACGTTACATCGAGCACGAAGACGCTTATACGCGTAAGCTTATAAGAGTCTCAGCTTTTTCAGGTTTAATTTGCACGAATGAATGAGCCGGGCTATAAAACAGTTCCCAACCTGTATGATGACAAACCGAAAGAGATCAAACAGAAACCCCCAGTTTTTCTTTACCACTGATTAAAAGATCCAGAATTGTGTCATCAAAGACCTGAAGATCAGTTGGCTTCTGGGTAATCCGATCCACACGACACGCCATCAGGAGCAACTGATACAATGAGACCAGAGGGGCCTGTAAGGTGATCTGTACCACAGGGACTGGGTGGGACTGGAACCGAGGGGGTCAGTGAACACTGGGCTCTTTGTGAAATGCTCTCCGTCCCCGGCAGAAGTGTAATGTCAGCCAGCTAACGCAGCAGGGGACACCAGGCCGGTCCAGCAGGTTATCCGGAGCACACCTGCATGCACACCATGCGCTTCTCCCTCAGTATCGGTGACGCTTTTTATTATTAAGTGCAGTTGACATTTGTGGAAGCTTTAATAGCCAGAGCTGCTTCGTCTTGGCAGCCAGACAAGTGTGCCTGGAAGCCCAAAGGTCGGGAACATGGTCACACAGCCGTTTTTAGTGAGGACGCATACATGCAACCACACACACACACACGTATCGGCACGATGCAGATAAGATGAAAGGCTGACTGACTCTGTGAGGCAACTGGATTTTCATCAAGTACCTCTGAATGTCAAGCTCTGAGCGAAGGGAGGAGAGCATGCCCTGCACAGACTGATGGGAGAAAAGCGGGAGAGAAGAATAAAAGTAAAAAGCAAATGGTTAAGACGTTTCCACCGGGAGGGCGAGATGGAAGAATAAATGGTCGTCAAACAAAACAGAGGAACCATGGAAACAAATCAATGTCAACAGCAGACCAAAGAGAAGGGGAGAGAGGTTGAAAGCAGAACCTAGTTGTAGATTTAGTCGTCACACGATTTTACAGCAGAGAGTCAACATTTTATAAGCTTTTCTTTTGAGCTTATCGAGTGCTGGCAGAAATCCTCAAAACTGCACCACTTAATACATGAATTTTCCGTCATGAATATAAAAGATTATTCTCATCCACACATGATATTTGTTGAGTAATAGTGTGCAGGCATTTTCCTGTTAGGCGGCGGCCTGACGCAGCAGGCAAAACTGCTGAGCCATCACTCAACAACTGTCCTGTGATTCCATTAAAATACGCTTCGGCTTGCAGCACCCGCAGATTAAAAAGACATGAATATGAATGTGCCCATAAACTGTTAATACATAATGATCAGGGGTGACACGCAGTTGACGGGTCACCTGAAACCAGACATGTGTTGGGAAATTTAAGATGAACACTGAATGATTTATGGGCGCATCCATTGGTGGTGGGTGCACACTGCTCTTCTAGAGCTTCTCCTATGCTCCTGTGCCACGCCTAGTTAGTCATTATTCTACACTGGTCCAGCAGTGCGATCCGATAGAAAGACCTGCATTTCACCTCTAGATTGTATAAATGTTTACTTAAATACCCTATTTTAGGAGTTAATTGCAAGAATTCAATAGCCGCTAGGTATTTTTGCTACCTGTTTACGACTTAATGATAAGCTAGGCTAACTGTCTTGTGGCACCAGCTTCTGTGGTATCAATTTATTGCTATCTTTCCACGCAAGTGTCATAAGATAAACCACCCTTCGAATTGCAGTCAAAGCAACTTGTGTTAACTTTTTGTGTCAGTATGCGAATCCCACTAAACAAACACAGTGTGACAGCTGCAGAATAATTGCAGGAGGAGCGAAAGACAGTTAAAGCGGAAGCAGTAGCATATAAAAGTACAGGAAATTGCAAATGAGACCTTCTGCCTCCCTCTGGAAAGAGGTAATTAAGTTAAACCACTCCACAGCAGTCCACACCTGACAAATGAGGTGTCCCCTCCAAAGGTCAACAGCTTAGTCCGGATGAACTCCTCTCTCTCCCCCTTCTTTTCTCCTCCCTTTATGCATGCACGGTGGGGTTGCCTTTCAGACACCGGCTACTTCTGACATGGCCAAGCAGCTCTGCATAAAAAGCCACTTTCTGTCCCCGCTTTTCCCGCTGTAGCGTCCAGATGTGAGGAATGCGGGCTAACTGCTGATTAACGCCCTAAAACCTGCCTCGACCCGCTCGCACCTATAATACATTCCACCGTTGATTCCCAAGCCTCGGTCCAGACCATATGCAGCCTGTGATTGTGCATTTTTCCAGCAGCCGCTCCTTCTGCCCGCCGCATTTGCGGGCTGACAGCTACGGTGAATGTCAGACTGACACGCCGGCAGATTATGCACAGGAATATGACAGGTTACACAGTCATGAAAAGAGCCCCCTTGACAAGGAAGGCGGGTCTATAAAACAGATCCTGCAAGTGTCATAAATCAGAAAATGGCCAGCAGAAGGATGGCGGGTTGCCTGTTAAGTGCTTCAGCCAATGTAGTCATGTTGTCACAGTTGTCACACATGTCATCATGGTTGGAGTGTGTTGGAGCAGGAATAGAGGAAAACGGCAGCATCGTGTCAAATGTGTAATGTGAACAAGCAAAAACCAATGCTTGTACAAAAAAAAAAAAGAGATGAAAGAAAGAAATCGGTTAAAATGCATAAGTGTGTGTGTGTGTGTGTGTTTGAAACAGAGGCATACAAAGAGGGACTGAGCGCATGCATGAGTGAATTAGGCCATTGTTCCAGAAAATCGGACCTGAACACAGGACATCCTGAAAACATTTACGCTACAGCGGCCTGACAAACAAGCTCAGGTCTGTGTTTGTATGTCGGCGATAAACGCAAAACGCACAAATTCTTCGGACGTTACTTTGTGCTTTCTCGCAGCACCATCATCTCACTTCAGCGTCTCCGCACCTGAGCAGGCAAAGCTGAGCGCGCAAGTTTGGGTGCTTCTCGTTCGCACCCGTGTTAAACTTTACGGACCCTTTTGCAGCCCGCAGGAATATTTTTGTACATTTTCTCCAGGCAGAACGAGTGAAGCTATTTCAGGTGCCCCCCCCCCCCCCCCCATCCCGTCTTAGCTCCTTAACAAATAGTTTGACACGGGGAGCCGTGACGGCTGATTAAAGGAAATCCTGATTTCACTAATGGCAGCTCCCACCAGCAGCCGGCTGTGTCGGTCATGTCTGCAAGAGCATCGTGCAACGCACCCGCAAGTCTACACAAAGCCCCCTGATTGGCGCCTACCTTCTTATGAAATCAACAAAATTGTGGTTATGATGGCGTACTCATTTCAGAGCAGTGGCATTAAAAAAAAATCCCCCTGACAACTTTAGATGTTATTCACATTTCACAAAAAAAGGAAAAATATTACTTTTAAGATGCATGAGCAGGTCACCGGACAAACAGGCTCCGTTGACTCATTCTATGGTCTTTCTAGACGTGAAGGAATGTAAACACGCGAGTGGAGGTCGGAAGCTTGTGTGGCTTTAAACACAAACTAGAGTGTTGTGAGCACAGCTTTTCACTTAAGATGCTAATTTGGCCTTAGCTCTGGGAAGCGGAAACAGAGCGAACTGTAATTACCGGGCCGGATCTGTATGGCAAACACTATACAGCAGACGTTTAAACCTTAAACCCTCACTTAAATGATCTGATGAGCTATTCCTCTTATAAGCGCCGGGTTAGAGGGAGTTTTAGAATTTGTGTCCTTAAGAAACTGTGCTGTGTGTCGGAATTTTTTCCATAGAAACAGGTTTAAACAAAAATCGGAACTTCCGTGAGTATGAAACTCAATGGACTTTAATTCACAAAGCCCCTGTCAGTCTACCAGTCAGCGCTCTGTCCATATGCTGTCTGTGTACGGACCATCATCCTTTGTCTCCTCTAGCCTTAATGACATTATACCAAAATCCCCCAGTCATCCATTTCCATTCATTGCTGCCGCATCCCGCTCTGCCTCCCTCCCCTGATGCATTCCTTCTTTAATCCCTCCATCCAAATCCCCAGATGACCTTTCAGAAACGGGCCAGCTCGTTAATTAGCGTGCTAAAAAGGAGAAGATTTTATAGTATCCACAGTCGAAGCCGACAGTGAAGGTGAAGCCGGAGGGTTTCTGTGTGTCTAAAAGTTTACAAGCAAAAAAACATGTGGGAAATATCCGGGAAGATTAGTAAAACATCACATTGGCGACCGAACTCAAGCAAATATCAACAGACACGAGGCTGCGTGTGCAAGACGACTCATCTCTCCCGCACACTGACATTTCCAACAACTGAGCCAACGCCGTCCAATCGATTTCACCCGCTCGCGACTTAGTCGCGGTTGTCACCGGCGGACGTCGCCCTCTCCTCCCGAGTGACGGAGGTTGCCGAAGTCAACTTTGCGTGACCAATCGGATACATCGGCCAGTGGCAGTTTGCGGAGTGGGAAAGCGGACTTGCCACACGAGGTTTAACAAGTGGGAAAACATTAATACCGAAGAGATCACGTTCCAAATGTTCTTTAAAAGCAGAAACGCAGTATTTACCATTATCAGACCAGCGGAAATCTCCTTCCAGCGGTGACTGGAAACAGGATCGTTTCCTCCACTGTTATTTTAGCCCTGGTAGCGCTTGCTCTGCACAACGCCCCCGTCCCCCTTCCCTTTCTGCTGTAACTCACAGCGGATGCCCCCCCCCCCTCCCTCCTAAATCTAATGCACGCACCACCACACATCCCTCCAACAGCACAATACAAGCAGACGCAGTCCACACACGGCGGACAGCGAGGGAGAGTCATTGTTTTCCATGTCTGACGTAATGCGCGGCCGCGCAGCTTGAGGGACGTCGGCGCGAATCACAAAGTTCAAATATTTCTTCCTTTCAGGTTTTTCCAGCAGCCTACGAGAAGGAAACTGTATCCCTGAGACGGCGTTAAAGCTGCATGGAGTTTCCGATGCGTTTCATCTTAAATCGGCGCCTCAAACACTAATCCACGTGCCACATATTCTCAGCTTCCACCTCACCGTCCGATGGCTGGAGAGTGAAGAAATGACCATACGATAGGAGAAGATGAGAAACACAGCACATATGAACACAATTCACAAATCCAAATAACAATGCTGCATACCAATGGTAAAAATATTACAGTATAACAGTACAATATTATTAAGAGCTATTCATTTTGCCAGTATTCCCTTTTTCATTGAAACGGTTTTGAGCCACACAGTCAAGTCAAGGCCTGACACAAAAAGACAGGTCCGGACCAAGACGGATCGTTTATAGGTGTTGCGTGCGATGATTTGCACACACCTACGAAAGTGCAAGCATTAAGCTTCCTCGCTCGCTGTCTTCTCTTACCAAATAAACACATGAAAACTATTTACCAACCTAGGTGGGATCTGTCAAGACCTGTTCTTAAAATCCCTTCATCACGAGCAAAACAAATTTAACCTCTGAACACTTAAATTATCCTAGAATAACCTCCCACACACACACACACACACACACACACACACACGGGATCCCTGCATAATGAAACAAAAACAGCGCCCATCCACATGTACACAGCGGACAAAGCCATGGTCACATTTCGGACGGCACATTTATACGACGCGTCCTCACGTGAACCCGGCCCGTCTCCGGAAGAAATCACCTTCTGAGAACGTGTGTGAGTGTGTGTGTGAGTGTGTGTGTGAGTGTGTGTGGCTCCGGGCTTGTGGTCACCGACACAAAGAGGGCTTTCTTCCCTCCTGAGAAACCGGAGCCCCGCATCCTCTACATCATGTTGCACACGCAGAAACGCAC